AATGAAAGAAACAAAACTGAAGAACAAAAAAACTAATCTGAAACAAAAGAAAACTTAATAAAGCAGAAAATCAAATAAAAAAGAAAAAAATTGCATAACAAAACAAAATAGTTGTTTTGAAAAACAAAAAATAAAAATGAAATAAAAAATAATTCTATTAAAATAAACAAAACAAATCAAACCAAAATTGAATCAAAAGCCAAATAACATGAAAACGAAACAGAAAAACAGCGAATCAAAATTAAGCAAACAAAATGAAATGAAAAAAAAAAAACTAAATAAAATAAAAACAACAAAAAAGGAAATCGAAACAAAACAAAATAAAGCAGAAAAACAAAACAAATAAAAGAACTAAATTAAAAGACAGAACTAAATAATTAAAATGAAAAAAAAAAGAAATTAATAAAAAAACAAAACAAAAACAAAACTAATCGAATCAAAATAAAAACGAAACAATGAAATGAAAGAAACTAAACTGAAAAACAAAAAACTAAAATGAAAACCAAAAACAGACCAAAATGAAACAATAAACAAAAGAGTCAGAGGTGAAATCTCCTTTAACCAGTGTATAATATCTGGCCATTGTGCTTGCCACTTCCTTTTGTCACTGCTGACTTTGCTATCCAGCGCAGAGCAGCAGATTTAGCACAAGCATCCCAGAGCAAACATGTGTCCTTCTCTCTCTCTCTCTCTCTCTCTCTCTCTCTCTCTCTTAGCAGGACCGAACACCCATGTGTTTCACAGACACCACTCACGCAGCACACAGTCTTCAAAGCGTTCAGTGCATCAAGAGCAAAAAAAAAAAAAAAAAAAAAAAAGAAAAGAAAAGAAAGAAAATCAAGCCAAAAATTCCAATGGTAACACAGACAGAACTGTGGCCCCAGCCAACAAACACATTCACAGGACAATTAAGACTAGCTGGTGTACGTTTCACATTTTACAAATAGTTCCATAATTACAGCAAAAGAAAAAAACACAGTTGAGGCACTTTGCGGAGTTTAAAAAAAATGAATAAAACTTCTATTAAGATTCAGAATTGCTGTAAATGAGCTTGAAAGCTAAAACAGCATGCCGAAGTGCAGTACAAAAGCAAGCCAAAAGCATTTCACATCAAGTGCAATTTCTGCGAAAGCGCCGCCTTGCAGTGGAAGAACAAACCAGTGCACTTTTTTCTCTTGTTAATGTTGTGATGAATGTGCAAACACACTGGCAGGAAAGGCACTTCCCTTTTTATAACATATAAGAGGATATGAAAGATTTAAACGATTTGCAAGACAGATAAAAGTGTGCCAGTGTGGAAAAAGAAAAAGAATTGGTTTACATCAGCAGGACCTAATTCACTTACAGATATTTCACCCAAAAATGAAGATTAGGACTGTTAGAGTGTTTTTTAATCTTCTTTCAAAATTCAAACATTTAGAAAACGTGTCTCTATACATTTTTTTTATCAGAAATAAATATATGCAAGTAAGAGACAACTTGACAGATCTCAGTTTCTCTGGATTTACTAGGGATAGGATTGAGTGGAATTGTAATATTTGTTTCACACTGTAAAAAGTGCTCAGTTGACTTTACTTAAAAAAGTGAGTAAACGCATTGTAGGGCTGCACGATATCGGAAAAATCTGATATTGCAATATTTTCTGTGATATATATTGTAATATACTTTGTTACACTGTACAACCCAACATATATGGTTAACACAATATGGTTAAATGGTTTGTAGCAACCGGTTTTCTCAAACATTTTGAGTTGCCTTAACTTATTAGGGTTTACAGTACCCAATTGGCTTGAGTTCTCTTCATTTATTGGGTTTTTGTTTTTTTACTGTGATAAAATTGCTTCATTTACTCAAATGGATTAAGTTCACAGTACTCATTAGGATTAGTTTTTGAACTTAAATAGTTTGTTGCAATCAGTTTCCTCAAATGGTTTAAGTTACCTTAACTTTTTGGGTTTTACAGTTTATACTTGAAATAATTTTTAGTCACTTTATTTTAAAGGTTCAGTTCTTGCTCTTGGCATCCATTTAAACTTAAATTTTGTTTTAATAAACTCCTAATTTGCTCCTTATTAAGAGTTATTAAGGTTTCGGTTTTGGGTGGGATTAGGAATGTAGAATACGATCATGCAGAACATCTGCTTTTTAAGTACACTGTAAAGAAATCCTGGTTGCCTTACATTTTTAAGCTGAATTAAATGAACTTTATGAGTACATTGAACTTATAATGACTTAAACAGCTTGCATAACTCATAAAATAGCTTAGAAAATGGTTAACTTAGTTTAATAAGTTACAATGAACAAAAAAACGTAACTAAATGATCATGTCATTTTTCTGCTAATAAGCAGCCAATATGCTAATAAGCAATTAGTTAATAGTGAGAATTAGTCATAAAGTATTATGGTATGTATTCCTTTTGATTGACAGGGATGATTCTGTAAGGGAGTGAATCATAACATGCAATAAACAAACTACAAGCATATATAAATCAAGCAAAGCAAATTTAAAAGGGAAATATCAGTGCATGCATTATGGTTCTGTATATGTAAATGTATAATTATGGGACTACAAAGACAACTCAACATTGCATATCTTTGCATTGTGATTATAGCGGATGCACAGATTGTGATATTAATGCTGAAACAATATATTGTGCAGCCCTAACCCATTGCCTTAAAATAATTAAGTAAGTAAACTATGCACATAATTATAGCATTTTATAAATTGTCAACAATGGGTAATTTTTTTTTTAAGTAAAACAACTCTAGCAATGAATTTTGTAAAAGTCTAATAGCTGTTGATCCAAGTTTTTATTCAATTTGTCATTTAGAGGAATTTTATTTTCAGAAAATGACATTCGGTCAAGAGAACAAATGTTTTCATTGATTGTACTACACGGTAAAAAAGGTAACATTTTAAAATAATGGTCAATTAGCTTATGCTATTTAATGTATTAACTAACATCATTAATACTTTTATTACAGTATTTTTGTTTATTTCATGTTAACTCACTTTGCATTAACAAATGCTAGCAAGCGCAACTTTGAATTCTAATAATGTTGAACTATGATTAATAAATGCTTTACAAGATTATTTATACGTAGTATTAACTAACATTAACTAATGGACCATTATTCTAAAGCAGCGGTGCCCAAACTTATTTGTATGAAAAGTCAAAAACGTATTTATATTTATACAGCACACAAACACACAGGCTGCGTCTAAAACCCCACACTTCCATACTATAAAGTACGCTAAAATTAGTATGGGAGAAGAGTAGTTTGTCCAAATTGAATTTGAAAATCAGTATACGAGAAGTACCCAGATGATTTATTATTTCCGACGAGATTCTGAAGTGCGCATCCTATGCAAGCTGTGCTACCCCATGATGCCCCGTGAAAGAATTCATGAATGGGAGTAAAGCGACGAAACTGACACAGGTAGGTCACGTGACAATGACAAAATTGCGGATATAGTCTGTCCGAATTCCATTCATACTTTTTACATTCATACTGTATAGAACTTACTTTTCTATTGGCCATGTAGTATGTTTAAATTCAAATGCAGTACCTACTGAGTAGTTGGCGGTATCTTGTAGTTGGAGTCTTGTTTTACTGATTGTGAACATTACAACGCATTTCCTTGCCTTGCCTTGTCTTGCCATGTTTTTGACTCTCGCCTTGTTTGTTTTTGTGCTGTGTAAATAGTCTAACTAATCAGTCTTTGAGCAGCTTCAGCTGTGTGAGTGTAATCAATGGAGACCTGGAGCAGGTGTGTGTTGCATGACAGGACTTGTAGTCCATCCTGGCGTAATTGTAGTTCTTTTAAATGTGAATGTTCTCCAGCGATCTATGAACTCTAGATTGCTGGTGATTGTGACACTGTGGGCCAAAGGTAAATATACCAGACTATATTACATTAATAAACCATATTACAAAATAAATAGAAAAAATTACTTTAAATTGTATTATCTATTGCATTATACCTTTTTAATTATAACGTATTGCAATAAAACATAAACAATCCCATTTATAACACAGTGGAGCTCAATGTTGAATACACTAGTCAAGCAGAATCTGCCTTTGACTTGATCTCATCAAATTTTCTGCACTGTCGGGTGACTATGTACATTTAAAATGAATATGATTAATTTACACCATTTGATTGATACATTCTCTCTATTCTTAGATGGCATGGCAGGCCAAATCAAAGGTTACCAGCTTTGGCCGGTGGACCCTAGTTTGGGCATCTCTGTTCTAAAGTGTTACCAAAAAATCTTGCTTTTTAATTTCATCATTTAAATTATTATTTTTTTGTTGAATCAAATTAACTTTTTTTATTCACCTCAACTTACATCAATCAAACGGAAAAAATACATTAAGTTAAACTTAATGTATAACTTAATAGAAAATTAAGTGAAAAAGAAAAAAGTTAGAGCAACATAAAAATACTTGTTGTCTTGACTTTTTGTCAACATTTTGTTTACAGTGTGGAAAGCAGGATTATTTCACTTAATTATTAATATAACTAATATATTTTGAAGTTAAAAGCATTAGTATTGTTCCTAAAAACAGTATAAGAAAAGTGTTTTGGTAAAATGGATCTAAACATGCCCAAAAGAAACACTAAATAACAGCCTTTTTTTAAATCTGGAAGTAGAGCCATTAGTAATTTACAGAATAAACCAGAAATGGTGACAATTTATCATAAATACTAAGAAAATAAGAGTTTTTAAGTTGTCTCTTTATGTTTTTTTTATATATATGTATACACAGACATGGACAAAATACCCTTTAATTTTATCCTGGTCAAAGTACTAACAGATTTTCAACATTTTATTTTCTGTCATTTTTTATTAATAACTACTATTTTAGGTTTCAGTTGTTTCTTCAATGCAGGGGCACCAACAATTTTGTCCACGTCTGTATATAGTGGTTACAAAAAAATCATTTTAAGGTGAACTATCCCTTTAACATATCTGACATAATAATAAATCACAATTATGGCCGTTTCCATTGTTTACCTGTTTTAAGGCACCAGAGGTACTGAATTAAGTCTCAAAGCGCTTTACAACACAAGAGTCAAAGGATCTTGCTCCAATTTAGGCGTCACATTAATTATTGCGGTACACAAAGCAATACAAACACCCACACCCACACCCACACATACAGACACAGAGAGAGCCCAAACTTCTCTGTTGGTGCCTGTGGAAAAATCCAGCTTGGTAAACTTAACATACTAAGGTTTTCAAGTGTCAGCCGGAGTACCAGTGTTGCAGAGCTGACCGGCATCAGCAGATCACAATAGAAAGGTCTCCTACAATATAAAACAACTCCAGTGGTGATGCTTTGTCACTCAGTGACAGCAAATGAAGTCTGTGTGATTCACAGGACAGAGCAAACTGCTTTAGCCCAAAACGCTGATCAAAAATCTTTGGAATGTTTGTTTGTTAAAAGCAGTATACACCATAGCATCGTCTCTTCCCTTAACGTTAAAAGTGCACAGCGTGTGTTCCCTTGATGCTCTCTCTTGTTCCCGAGCTCAGTTTGAGGATGGCAGGCTGATGTTTTTCCTCTCCTGTCGAAGCACAGGTCCTGCTGAAGGCACAGAGGGCTCATTTAGCAGGGGCCTCTACAGGGTTGTACTCGGTCTCTCCTGAAGACACCTGGGAGATTCTGCGTGTGGAGCCCCACAGTCGGCGGGAGAACTGGCCTGACCGCACCTGAAGGAGGACAAACATGCTGTATTTAACCAGCATATAAGCTGTTTTAACCTTTCACACTGGAATTAGCAGAACTCTAATAGAACTGAACCGTTTTTTCTGACTGCCCAGAAAAAACTGTTCTGAACAGAATTTTAGTCAGATCTTTTTACATTTAATTTAGTCAATTTGTAGATGCTTTTTTTCTTACAAAGCGGCTTACAATAAAGGTGGCGTTGAGAGATTCATCAAGAAAAGGCAATACACACAAAAAGAGTTAATTATACAGAGAAACTGTTTGTGCTCAGTGAATTTAGTGTTAGAGAAAGGAGAGGCGAGTTTTATTTTACATTTACATTCAAAACTTCTTTTGAGACTTCAGAATGAAACTTTGAATGTCTGTCATCATATTTTATGAAGTTCATTCATTCATTTTCCTTCCGCTTAGTTCAGGGGTCAGCAACCCGCGGCTCTAGAGCCGCATGCGGCTCTTTAACGCTGCCCTTGTGGCTCCCTGGAGCTTTTTAAAAAATGTTTGAAAATGGAAAAAGATGGGGGAGGTTAATATTTTTTTTTGTTTTAATATGATATTAATGATATTATGATTCTATAGGAGGACAAACATTTTAACATTTTCAAATGCTGTAAAAGTGTGTAGAATTAATATTTAATTTCAACATTTCTGTCAGTGAAGATTTGCGTCATAGCCTGCGACACACGTTTCTATCAGCAAGGCGGGATACCAGGCAGGTGGCTGTTGTAAACAAACCGGGAGATAATAAAGCACGGAAAACCGTTCACAGATGGTGACTACATAAAGGAGTCATTCATCAACATATTAGAACACCTATTTGCAGACTTCAAAAACAAAACCAAGATAATACCAAAAATTAAAGACATACCTCTCTCCGCTACGACAGTAAAGGAAAGGGCTATTAAAATGGCAGGTAATATCACCGATCAGCAAACCAAGGACATTAATTCAGTCCCCGCATACTCAATTGCCTGTGATGTGACCAATATTCAACGCGCAGGTATGTGAACTCCGATGGGCCGCAAGAAGAAATGATAAAATTAATACCACTGAAAGACCAGAGGCTGTGCTGTGTAAATAAACACCAACCACCTCATTTCAGTGGCTATTTAATCATGAAGGCTTATTATGTATTTTTAGCCAACTTAGTCATTTTTATAGTAGGCTAATATAGCTAATATAGATATATACAGCATGTGTTTCATTCATTGTAAGGCTTATATAAGGCTTTACATTTTTTGCGGCTCCAGATATATTTGTTTTTTGTTTTTTGTGGTCCAATATGGCTCTTTCAACATTTTGGGTTGCCGACCCCTGGCTTAGTCTCTATTTCAGGTCGACACAGCGGAATGAACCGCCAACTATTCAGCATATTTTATGCAGTGGATGGCCTTCCAACTGCAATCCAGTTTTGGGAAACACCCATACACACTCATACACTAGGGACATTTTAGCTTACCCAATTCACTTATAGCGCATGTCTGTGGACTGGGGTGGAAACCCACTCCAATATAGGGAAAACATGCAATCTCCACACAGAAATGCCAACTAGCCCAGCCGGAACTTGAACCAGCAACCTTCTTACTGTGAGGTGACAGTGCTAACTAGGGATGTCCCGATCAGGGTTCTTTTTTGCCCTCGAGTCTGAGTCTAAATCATTTGATTTTGAGTATCTACCAATACCGAAACCTGATCAGAAAATTCTAGAATACACAAAAAAAGAATAAAGAAGTGCAAAGAAACAGATCCAGGATGTTCCTGATTTTTTATTTAATTCACCTTATTTTAACATTCAACAACTCTGTTTACAAGCAGAACACTTCTATGAGGTATCTTGAACAGTCAAGTAGTAAATAACATTAATTCTTCACTTTTGGAATTTAGGGCAACAGTAAATATGAAAAAAATATCTAATATAAAAACAATCAGCACCTCAGCTTAAAATATTCGGCAGGCAATTCCAAGTTTACATTTCTCACAGTTTGCTATGGCAATGTTGTCGTCATCAACTTTATATTTATTATTACCTATTGACAGCAGATATACTCATGCTTTCCACTTCAAGCTGCTTCTGTGCTCTACTTTGCTGGGATTTAACCAATAGCGGCTCTGTAACAAAGTGCTGCAAGCGTTGCTGTTTCTGTGTGAAGTCAAGAAAAAGGTCTAACACTGTGCCACCACATAACTATAGATGTGTCAAAAATAATGAGAATATACATATATTTGAGTCCTGATTGGGAGGTATCGTCCGATTCCAATCAAGTCTAAAACCATGTGATCAGGTCCCATTTCAGTTCACAATGGTCAGATCTGGACATCCCTAGTGCTAACCACCTCAGGCCCTGTTTACACTAATACGTTTTAGTTTTAAAACGCATTTTAGACTGAAAAAGATCCGCGTCCACACTGGCATTTCACCCAGTGTTTCTGAACAGCTCTCCGTCCACACTACACCACTGGAAACACACATCATGTGCACTACAGCGTATGTGCATGTCTGAGCTCCAGGCAGACAGTGGGTTTGTTGCCTTGCTCAAGGGACTACCTTTGAGGGTGGTGAGAATGGCTGATCATTCATTTACACCACCTACAATCCCTGCAGTGCCGAGACTTGAATCTGCAACCTTCCAATCACAATGTGTAACGTGCCTTTATAAATTACATAATACATAATATATGAGATACTGGCACCTATTAAATACATTAGTTGTAATTTAGAACTTGGCTACTAGTAGAGCTGCACGATTCTGGCTAAAATGAAAGATCTAAAAATAAAAAAAAATAAAGATCACGATTTTCTCATGATTCTGTAGATGTAAAATACACGTTAATATGAGTGGGCTATTATTATTGTTAATCTCAAACATGTGGTAAAACAGCAATAGGCTTTGTGTAGGTCCTGGTTAAAATGCTAAATTTTGTATAGACTTGGCATGGTGGACTTGAACAGACTTTAGATTTGTCCTGGTCATTAATGCTGATGATAATTGGGCTATTCTGCCGCCCTAGACGCAGCTATAACTGAGGCGCGGGTGGCGAGGGTACTTTAGGGGACGCCACCCTCTCTATTCTGCCGTACTTGATGCGGATAGTTTCGGGGACGCCGCTCTCTCTATTCTGCCACCCTAGACGCAGATGAGGGCGCGGGTGGCGAGGGTATTTTCGGGGACGCCGCCCTGTCTATTCTGCCGCCCTAGGCGGCCGCCTAGGTCGCCTCTATGGAAGCGCCGGCCCTGCTAGTAAATCATTTGGGTAGTTTAACTTGCCGTTATTCTGAACTTCTAACACTGCAGTTGCACAGAAGTTTCATCTGTCACCCCTTTAATGAGCAGTATGCATTTTATTTCTGTCAGTATGAGATTATTGGCTTAAAGGCCTAAGCATGCATGCACACACTCACCTCCTCTGGTTTTCCTGCTCCCACCACGATGAGTTTGCCATCCTCCAGACCCACCAGAATATGACTGCTCTCTTTTGTGACGGACACACAGCGTACTGGGACCTTCAGGGCCAAAGGAGCCACGGCCAAATTCAAGCTGCACACCAAACACACACACACATAAAGAAAGAGACGTGGGAATGAGATGTAAACATGGACACAGCTGCTTGAGGTTTACTGTGATGACACAAAGGATTTTTTAAGAATGCTTAAATTGAATACAATTACAATAATAGTAATAATATGATTAACCAGAACATTCCATTCTCAGCAGATGTACGACAGGAAAACCGTTCAAATGTTTCAGCTTGGTGAGCTTTTTTGTTTTATGTTTTTGAAAGTCTCCACATTTTTGCACCAATAGACAATTATTTGACCAAAATATGCTAAAATTATGGGTCACACTTTACGATAAGGTTACATTAGTTAATGTATACTAACATGAACTAAGCTTGAAAGATACCTGCACAGCATTTATTAAACATAGTTCAAACAAGGGATGTCCCAATGAGGTTTTTTGCCATCAAATCCGAGTCCAAGTCATTTGATTTTGAGTATCTACTGATACTGAAACACGATCAGATACTTCTACATGAAAAAGAATAAAAAAGAGCGAAGAAGCAGATCGAGGATGTTCCTTATTTTTAAATTTAATTCACCTTATTTTAACATTCAACAACTCTGTTAACAAACAGAGCACTTATGTAAAGTAGCTTGAACAATCAAGTAATAATTTTGGAATTTTGGAATTTAGTGCAAAAGAACACACACAAATACTGTATTAAATGTATTGTTCATTGTTTGTTTACGTTAGTAAATGTGTTGCCTAACATAACCTTATTGCAACGTGTTCCCAAATTATGAGAGACTGCGGTTTTATTTTAAATAATCAAAAGATAAAAAGGTTTTTAATCAGAATTAATTGTACACATTTAGTTGTTTTTTTCTGTATTAAATCCTTTATTTATTTGATTTATTGCCAAAAGGCATAATTGTCTGGAATTGTCTGGACGCATTTGTACACACAAACTTAAATGCATAAATTATTCCGATCATTATAAAGAGTTAAATAGAAGTGTTTAAAACCCAAACCATCCTATAATAGGTGCAGCTTTTCAGTTTTGATACCTCTAAATCGTTGTCGGCCTGGGGGTAAAGGTGTGAAAAGATGTCTAGCTAGGTGTGTGGCATCTCTAAGTATTATCAAACCATTTTTTTGCTAACGTGAGACATAAAGACCATCTACAGAAGTTAGATCGTGGCCTATCATTTTTGAGGTAGTTCGCATTATCCTACGAATTTGACTCTTTTGTTGAACCGAGGAGCTGCCAAACCACACTATTATTAAGTCAGCACACTTTCAACAACTGCTCTATAAAACCTGAAAATACTCGCCATAGATACTACACATTTTTGAAGCTGCTTTAAAAGGCACCTATGATGAAAATTAACTATTGTAAGCTGTGTGGACAGATTTGTGAGTAGGTATGGTGTTATATTAGAGTGATATAAACTCAACAAGTCTCTTTTTAACAATTTCCTGATGTTAAAATAGAATGCAAATGCCAGTGATTTTGAAGCCCCACCGCCATGTGATGGAGGAGTGCGGTTTCCCCGCCCACCAAATTGATTGACAGGCGTCATGTGTGCAAAATATGTTTTATAACTTAAATAGGGTTTACAAGTTTAAAACGTTTTTAGAACAGAGCATGTTTGTAATAAAGACAGTAAAATCACTAATTCTTAACTTAACTATAATCACCACAGCCCCATGGTCTCTGTAAACACTAATATTTGTGTGTGTGTGTGTGTACTGCAAATTGCATTTGTGTGTGACTCATCATTTCAGAAAGTCTTGAATAAATTAGACCACAAATATATAAAATACACTTTCATGGTATTGTTTTTTTACTAATGAGCTGTATTTCAGCTTCATCTGAGTCCGTCTCTGTCACTGTACTGTTTATCTGATGTAACACAGGAGATGCAGACACAAACGTGGGGCGTGGGCAGAGAGAAGCAGCTCATTTGGATTTAAGGCCACAGACTACAACAACAGCTACAATGTATTCAGACACCAAAAATGGGCAGATTCTGGAGGCTATAATAAATGTTCTGATGGGTATTTTGAGTTACAACTACACAGACACATTCTTTCACAGATACAAAACTTTACAGACAACAAAGCATTATCTTACATCTTGTACAAAGACTAAAATAGGTGCCTTTTTAAAAAAATTGTGTCAATGTCATTACCGAAAACAACTTTATATCTTGTGGACCTTTTGATAGCTTTTTTTGAAGGATTGTTTGATGGGATGTAGATGACATTTCTTTAAAAAACCTTTGCATAATATTGTGTTTAAAAGAGATTTGTTTTAGTCTTACCTGTACAAGTCTCTAATGTGGAGGTTTCCCTGTTGTGTGCCCACAATGAGGTAGTCAGGCACCAAGTACAAAGCTGAAATCTTCTCATCCAAGGTCTCAGATGCTAGCAGAGTGCCATTTACAGAATACACATGCAGAGCATACCTCTCCTACAAACAGAACATAAAAAAAACATCCATATTATGATTTTTGGGTGAAATATTAAAATAAGGGATAAAAAAGAAATCAATATTGTGATTTTTGGGTGAAAACTTTGTACATTCAAAACCACCACTTTTCCAGAAAAACCTTGTACATTACAACTAGCTAAACTCTGTGTTGTCAAAGGTGATAGTCTGGCTGTAAAATAGTTAGAGACTTAGATGTGTGTCACAAGATTTGGTAAGACCTTAGTTATATTACATATATATATATATATATATATATATATATATATATATATATATATCCACACACAAGACAATCACAGACGCGGTGAATACAAATGCTGAATTGAAACTTTTGAAAATACAGAATCAATATTGGAGTTACTTTTGCATGCTGGAGGAAGGATGACACCATAGCTGAAGTTTTACTGTTGGGTGATGTTCTGTTTTAAAACTTTTTTAGTCAGGCTAAGCTTATGTTGGATTGTGTTGTGTTATGAATGGCTTATGCTCCTATATTTTACCAATATTCTTATTTAGCTTAACAACAAAACATCAGTAAATAGCGCTATTCTGCCTAACCTGCTGTATTGAGCTGAAGTTGCTTTTATATTTGAATTGGTTCATTTTTGAACAATGACAGCCTTTCTATACTGTTTACCATGCTACTCTGAATATTCGCTCTGAAATAGCATGTGAGTGTGGCTTAGTAATAAATGTAATTCCTGGACGAAACACTAACTAACTGGCGAATAACATGAACTAGTGGGTTGTCTGATGTTGTGACGCGGTTCGCACATTTGCAATTTCAGGAGGTGTGGCTTTGAATCATGGTCCCTCCCCGCCATACAAAGATAATATGCCTAGCGGTTAGCATTTTGGCAGATCACCTACTGCACCTTTATTTAAATGTTTGCAACTAAATGAAAAAGTGCAAAAACTGAATCTTTCTCAATCAAATACAGATTTGAATGCATTGCTTTAAAGGATTATTAAAAATATGCTGATCATTATCATTTATTTTTCATGTTGTGCGAGTTTGAATTGAGATCACAATCTTTTAATGTTTACTTGTCCAGCTTTACACTGAATGCATTAGGCTCCAAAGAAGTGATATAAAACACCATTAAATATTACCCCAAGAAAGCATTTAGGTCCATCATTTTTTCTATCATCGTTATATTTTACAAGAAAGCCAAAATGGTTTTATACAAATGATTTGAATGACGTGGGAGGCGATCTCAAGGCCCACAAGGAAATTGCACACATAGAAATCTACATATCTTTAGCCCATCATTGAGTCGATGTATTTACTTGTGTAAATTTATATTTATTCAGTTTTTTAATTAATTTTAGTAATGTTATTGACTAATATGAAATTGTGCAATTGATTTATTTACAGTACAGTTTGTAAAGTAATATTTTCTGTCTGTTAGTAGACATATTATATGAGAGACTTGCTTTGTTTACCAAATAAGTGGATCTAATTGGATTTGCATTGTAAACATTAAATAAAAGTTAAAAAGCTATTATTTTTATTTCATATATTAAGTTTTTAGTTATGATACTTCTAAAATCATTTTGCATAAACCGCTGATTTTTTACAAAATAGCAAAAAAATTCCACAAATTCTGTTTAGCCCTAGCGATCTCTCTGCAGTTGTTATAAATGTTGGATTAACCTACAAGTTAAAAAAAAACTTTATTAATCCGCGGGTTGCATGCATTCTGAACTGTGGGTTGTGATCCATATGGATCACAGGTTAACCGTGATCCGTTACACCCCTATTATATGGTGTCATGGCTTTGAAATCAAAAAATGTCATTATAATGGAAGTCAATGAGGTAAAAACAGTCACTAACATAACAAAAGTGTAGTAAATTTACAGAGTGTATTGCTGACTTTTCGAAGAATTTTCCTATAATATATGTGAAAACAAGATTTGTCACCAAAAATCCTTCAATTTGCTGAAACGCAGAGAAAGTTGTGGCCAAATGAAGACTCAAAATCTCCATAGAGTGGATTAAACACAAGGGTTAAGGGCCTTAAACGTCTCTAAATTGATTGATCAACTTTGAATACTTTTTAAGACCCCGCAGACACCCTGAATTGCTTAGATGCAGTAATAAAGAGGCATAAAGTTGTGATCTGTGGCGACAGTTTACAGCATTATTCTCTCTTTAACTTTCTAAAGTCAATCAGCACCTTTCCAGCAGAGCGGCCCTCCAATACAGTCTGCATCACTATGTGGCCTTCCATGCCGACCTCCAGCTGTGCCACAGGAGCTGAAACACAGTTCTCACACGGTGGTCTTAATGTCCACAGGTACTGCCCACGACGAACACTGTGCACGATCACTGTGCCATCCTGAGTGGAAGAGAAAACCCATCATCCCTGACAGTAATGCAATAAAGCTCAACTCTGATTGATCTGATTTAGACTGACCTTCGACCCCGAGATGGCCATATCTAACTCAGTGCTGATGGCCACACACGTGACCTCCTGATCATGCCCACAGAGCACCTGAATGGGCCGTGGAGACAAGCCGCTGGAGAAACCACCCTGGTGGAAGAAAGATCATATATTCATATTCGATTTAATAGTTTTATATTCATCTGTATTTTTTATTTCAGACATTTGTGTTGTATAATCAACCTTTCAAAATTGAAAATATTTGAAATATAAGGTGCAAAAAATACAGTAAATATTAAAATATTTTAATTTAAATTAAAGAATTTTAATTGGAGTATATTTGAAAATATAATTTTTTTCTGTATCATCACAGCTGAATTTTTCGCAGTATTACTGCCGCCTTTAGTGTCACACGATCCTTCTTTGATCAAGAAATATTCTATTTTTATGTTGAAAATTTCATAATGCACAATATTTTGCTGAATAATTTACTAAAACATTTTTTACCAAGCTTTTTACAAGCTAAAAATAATACCTTTTATTTAATAGAAACATCATTTGTAACTTTATACATTGTACATTACTACGTCACTTCAATTTCTTGAAAAAAAGCAAGAATTGAAATAAAAAACTAACCCTAAATGGTGACAAAAAAAAAATTGTTTGGATGTTTTCTTTATCAGCAGTGCAAAGTTTAAATATTCTAATAAAATATAGACTGTATATATAATATAGATATAACGTCTGTTTTTTTTTTCCCTGTAATGTACATCTTATTTCATGTCTATTCAATTTAATTTGAATTCAATTATTTAATTGATATCTATTAACACATACTTCTAATCCTAATCATACTTTATTTTTTTCCCTTGCAAAATACATTTTATTCCTTAGACCTCTCTAACATACAAACATCAAGCTTTCTTTGGTATTACGTAGGTTAATTCAGGTTTTATACCATGCCAAAATACTGACTGATTGGCAGTCAGAACTGCACTGGTGTGAGTGTGTGTGTGTGTGTGTGCGTGATTACTTAAATGGGTTAAATGTAGTGTACAGATTTTGGGTACACCAAACCTAGCTATTTTCAATTTCAATTGCTTTCAGTTATTATTTATAACAATTGCAATACTAACTAACCATTCACAGTGGTAACCGCTAACAAATGTCTACCCCATATCTTTGAGATGTACAAGCAGGAAACAGCAAACTGATCTGGTGTGCGTTTCCCAAACAATGATGTAACTCGTGGCTGAACTATCATAGTACAATGCATCGTTTGAGTAAAGAACGATGTAGTGACGAGTGTTTCCCAATACCCGTAGTTTCTCTGTCCCAGATCCATCGTTTGAACCACATTAGTTATAACGTAAAACGCCCATAATGATGCTCTAAACAGGGTGAAGTAACAACTTCTTTAGAAAAGAACACTATCATTTCTTTGTGCAAATTATATGGTTTTACATGAACACGCATTAAAAAAATCCAATATTAGTTTTGGTAAAAACATGCACTCGCTTTTCATATTAATTAAAATATAAGTAAATGGCACACATAGAGCCTATGTTTCCTCTACCAATATTTTTGAGAATATTACACATAAATCATACAAAAGCTTACACATACTCTAATCTAATATATAAATCATATAAATAAACAAACAATGAGGCGATTTATTAAGAAATGAAATTTAATATGTATTATTTATTAGGAAATAAAAAAACATACTTTAATAATAACATTAGTAATATTAATGATGATGATAATGATGATAATAATGATTATTATTATTATTATTATTATTATTATTATTATTATTATTATTATTAAGTAGGATATTGTTTATTTATTTATTGAATAGTCTACTTTTACAATTTGACACATGGAAACCACTACAGAAATGTTCTAACCAACAGGACTATGTCAAATACAGTTCAGATACTTAATAAATAGCCTACTATAAATTAAAAGCATAAACGTATGCTATGTTTTTTGCTTTCACAAGTTTGGAGACGCAACATAAATTCCGCTTTTAAATAATAGGTCACCTATAGCTTTCGTCAAAAGCCACGACTGTTTTCAAAATGACATCAATGTTTTCAAAGTGCACTGCGAAGGGAGTGCAATTGTAAACACGAAGATTTATTTATTTTTTTTCAATTCCAAGTTTAAATTTCAGAATGTTCTAAACGAATAGGGGGGATAACGGCAAATAGAACATGGCCAGGAACTATGTTTCTAACTACAGCTCCAGAGGTGTAGTTGTAAGTGTACAAGTTTGTGAATGTTTATTGGAACGATGGATTTGGTAACACCAAATCAACAAACTATGTTTGTAATGACGGAACTTGCAACCTTAGTTGGCTAACAATGGTTTTCGGAAACGAACCCCTGGTTATGTGACATTAAAACATTTCAAATTTTTTATTTAAACAAAGAATTTATTGCCCAATGCCAACAACAGCACTTTAAATTTTTCCATTACAAAAAAGACAGTCATCACTGGGATTAAATGGATTAATCCTCATTGTCTTTTGGTATTTATTATATTATATAAAAGCACATGTATTTTGGGATAACAAACCTGCTGTAGGACCTGCCAGACCATGCAGGTGGTGTCCCGTGAGCCAGAGATGAGGTAGATTCCACACAGATCCAAAGCCAGGCAGGTGACCACATCTGTAACCCACAAAAGTGCACATCAAGACTTAATCTGATTATATGTTTACTAGCCACTATATTAAATACACCTGTTCTACTTCTGGCTAATATCAAGGCTCACTAAAACTTGACAGAGGGACATTGTGAAATGGTCGTCTTGTCTGATGAGTTTTGATTTCGGCTGCATGTTTGGTTTCTTGTTGGTTGGGTCAGAGTTTGGCGGGAACAACATGAAAAAGTTCAGTAGATCTACTTTGCCTTATTTCATTGTTTAGGATGCTGCTGCGGGTATGCTGTTTGAGGAATATCATTCTAGCACAGTACCCTTAGTACCAGCAATGCTGCATTCCACACATTTTCTTCATGTTGTTTTAACACAAATTGAATAAGTTAATTTGGTTTTTACAAGTTTGAGTGGCTTGACCATTAAACAATTACGTTGTCCCCGCCAATAATTAAAGATTGTGTTGTTTCAACTCATTTTATGCAAGTAGCTTGAACAAGCAGCAAAAGTCCTAGTGTAGCATTGCCTGTCTATCTGAGTATTACTGCTGACAAGTGTTGGAGGTGACGCATTACAACGCGAGCTACGTAATAATATTGCTTTTCCAAGTAACGAGTAAAGTAACATATAACTTTTAAAAACTAACTAATAATATTTGAGTTACTTTTAAAAAAATGTAATGACTTACTTTTATTTTAATTAGTTTACAAAAATATCTAGTTGAATTAAAATTAAAGTAGTCACAATGAATCACGCAGTCATTGACAGAATGAGTACATTATTTTGAACACATCAAGGAAAAGGAAAAGGGGATTGTGTCAATGATATTACAAATAGAACAAAAGTGGCAAACACTTAATCTGTATATATATACGGCATATACAGTATAGCTCTGGGGTCAGAAAGTTCTCAGTTAAAAATATAAATGTAGGTGCAGGTTATAGAGCGTGTTTATAATTGCAGAGCTTCTCTATTTAAAAAAATAAATAAAGAAAGAAAGAAAAGGTTCTGAAAGAGACCAAGCTTCAGCCAGGTAGTAAAAAGTAACGCAAAACTAACTTATAAGTAACATCACGTATTACTTACCATAAAAAGTAAATAAATAACAAAACTAGTTACTTTTTTGTGGAGTAACTCAATATTGAAATGCATTACTTTCAAAAGTAACTTTCCCCAACACTGCTGCTGACCATGGCCATCTGCTTAAATAACAAAGTGCACACATCTTGTAATGGCTACATGTAATTGCTCTATTTTGGGGAAAAAATATCATAATGATGATTATTTCAGTTATATTTAAATTTTTTAAAATAGTTATTTATGGAACTGAAGACCCACAGTTCAAAGTCTGGTTACAAAAAGGTCTCACCACATTACATGAATTGTTTGATGGAAATATTTTAATATCTTTTGACAAACTGACCAATAAATATAATATTCCGCAACAAGATTTTTTTCTCTACTTGCAACTAAGAGACTTTGTGAAAAAAAGACACTACAATACTCGAAAATCAGGACAATTCAGTTGTGGAAAGACAACTTTTTTCATACAGGGACAATTCCACAAGCTGTTTCTACAAAGTCCTTAAGGATTTTGTCTCTTTAAATACGGGCTCCTTGAAAGAGACATGGGAAAGGATATACAAATCAAATGATATACAAATCAAATCACAAATTTCCAAGAAGCCTGAAAAAATGCAATGTCCCTAAGTGTATGTAACAGAGTAAAAGCAATGCAACTGAATTTTCTACATCAAGCTCACATCTCTCCCTCACGGAGGCACAAGTTTAAAGAGGAGTTGTCACCAATGTGTCTGAAATGTAAAACTGAGGAAGGAGACCTTGTTCACTGTTTTTGGCTTTGCAGGGAAATTCAAAAGTTCTGGGCCATGATTGAACAAGAAATTAATGGAATTTTATCTATTAAAATTGGTTGTGACCCTAAGCAGATATTCGACTAGATTAATATGGACAAACATAAAAAAAAAAAAACACTTTGTAAGTTCCTGACAATTTGTGCAAGAAAACGTATTCTCCTGAACTGGATAACGGACAAAACTCCTACAAAGTCTTTATGGCACAGGGTAATACTTGAATATGTACCACTGGACGACTTAACTTGTGTCTCAAATGGCAAAGATGTTTTATTCCATGAGAGGTGGGATCCATTTTTGTTACATATGGGTTTAAACATAACCTTCATAATCATCAGAGGGATGATTTAACAATGTCAGATCTTGTGAAGGTTTGTGGTGCATGAATATCCAATATCGCTACTTTTATTAACGCCCCCCTTTTTTTAATACATTTTTTTTCTTTCCCTCCATGTTCTGTTCACTTGTTTGTTCCGTATTGCTTAAAAATTTATTAAAGACATTATTAAAAAAAAAAGTTGTTTATGAGTGGGCCATAAGACCTAACATTTTTTGATTGACTTTTTTCATTTAAAGGGGATGCATCAAATTTTGGGCCGCTGAAAATTATTGGCTGGAAATGTCTGTTTTTGTTTTTGACCTAAAGAGAAAAACTGAGGAAAATATGTTAATAACTTCACTGTCAATAACACTTTATTATTTTTTCAAAGTAAATTCCACTAAATTAGAAAAGTAAATAAAGTTTTTGAGTTAAAATTATAAGTCTTTAAAAATGTAATAAAGTGACTAACCAAAATAGTAAATAATTATATATAAAAAGAGTTGTTTCAGTTTTAAGCCAAGTGCACCCAGAAATGTCAGTTTCGGACAAGAATTTTCAATTCATTACATCGCTAGTAAACTATCCATTTAAAGCAATCCAGTAAAGCAGGTTGTACCTAATAGAGCGAATGCAATTTTCACCATCCATCTGAAGAGCTGTTTACTGACTGACCACAGATCAGTTTATTTAGGATAAATTTCAACAACTCCATCAAGCTCATTCCAAAGCCTACAACTGGCATCTCAACACTATTTTGAGTATGTGTGTGTAGCTCAGAGTCTTTTCTCACCTATGTGCCGGCAGATCCTGCCTACCAGCTTGGCCTTGCCTAACATAGTGACCCTCAGGCTGCAGTCCCAGTGCCCCCCGCTGAACAGCAGACGGCCGTCACTGGACACCACCAGCACCTGGGACCCCATCTCCACCCCTGGGGAGAACGGCCCGCTGAGGAACCGCTGGGTCCTAAAAACAGATCAAACAAAAGGTTAGTACCAACAAACGTGCAGGCAAGAACAGCAGGAGAACATTTTGAAATAGATGAATGCTGTGTTCAAGCATCAGAGGCGACACATGTAAGCAGACCGCTCATAAATAACTAGAATGGCTTGGCAAAACAAATGAGCTTTTACTACAAAGGACGCAATTTCGACTGAAAAACATTCAGCCAAACCACCAGAGCTTAATGTCAAAGAGCTGCTGTTTATATGCTGCTATAAAGGTTTTGATTATTTGTCCAAAAATCAATGTTGTCGCCATAAAAAAAAAACGATTTTTCTGCCAAAACAGAGCCTCTTGGCTTTTAAAATAATATGACATCACTGTGGATAGTTATGTCATCTGTTTCAACAACAAAAAAAAAGTATTTGTGCATGTTCACACTTACTTTGGGTTGCTGACAGAAGGGTCTCTGGTGAAGGTGAAGTAATTGGCTATGTTCTTGTCGTAGGGCAGCCAGCTATGAGTGCCTATCATTCCATTAGCACTCACTGTCACCTTAGCAAAACAGCACAAGAACCATTTAAAACACACTCAAGGCCTGACATCTACACCACAGGTGTAAACAGGCCCTTAGGCCTCGTTTAGACTAGTGCGTTTTAGTTTTAAAACGGCGTTTTAGAATGAAAACAATCCGCGTCAAGCATCTCCCGCTAGATCTAATCTCACTATGTTTGTTAAATGTGATATTTTATTCATCTTGTTGTCTCTGTCTAACGATATATTCCCCGACTTTGGTCTTTTTAATTATTATTTGTTCTCAGGTAACGTGTTTCGGCTGAGCGCAATTAGTTAATAATTAATGTAACCATGTACATTCTGTACATTGACTGATTGCTTGACTTTATGTCCTATAATGTATAAACTTAGAGTACGTTATACTTTTATAATGGCCATTATTGATTATTAAAAATGCTATTCAGCGAAAGAAAAATTAATGCGACTAAATATTAACTTCAATAAAAAAACGACGCTTGGAGTGAGAATGAATGTATAGTGAGATTAAAGACATTTCAATTGTTTTTCTTTTAAACTTGTTATACATCAATTAGTTTACTAAATTGATAATTAAAATGAAATACATTTCAGAAGGAACATGTAATACTGAAGACTGAAGTCTTTTTTTTAAATATGGTTTACACTTTGCTAGCATGGATTTTCTCACGTTTCATTTTCTTGTTTTTAGCATTAATTAAAGTTGCTAGCATTTTTACCATGTCATCACCTTAGAATTGTAAGGTTCTATCTGACATTTTTTCAAAATTGAGTTATTGACATATTCTTATTAAATGACAACTTATTTACATTATTGGATGTTTTTTTAATAAGTTGTTTGCATTTTAGGACTTTATATAAAAAAAAAAATGTTATGTTTGCTATATGGAATGCAAAAACTTTAAAGCTAATTATCTCAAAATCATTCAGAACGCAGATATAATTCCAAGGTGACGATGATTGCATGTTTTAACAAGATGCAGGCATTAATTTAAATGTTGATTTCCTTTTTTAACACAACATATTTTTAGCTGTTGCAGTTAATGTTTTAGCATAATTGCTGCTGGCATGTTTCACAGTTTGCTAGCATGAATTTGGTATCGTGTGTAATATGGATCACAACGCTAACATGAATTGACATTGCTTAACATGTTAAAAGCATTATTTACTTTCTTTTTACATTTTTTGAAGGAGTTTAATAACTTCATTTAAACTTTTCAATAAATGCATATGTACATTTTAAGTATAAAAACCAGTGATCTTTAACAAAACCTTGCTATTGATAAAAGATGGAAAAAATTATATAATCTTTTAAGTCATTACAATCAAACATTTACAGGGCAAATGTTGTTTATAATTGCTCAAAAACTATACTTTAAATGTAAAACCTTAACATTGCCACTGTGATGACAGACACTTAATGAGAAAAAGAAGAAAAAAAGAAAAAGAAAATTACTTAAAATTACTGTAATTATTTTTTTAAACTGAGTCACATTCTACATTAATGCATAAATATTAATATTTAATTCAGTTCCATTTTACTTTTAAAATGCTTTCTTAATCCTTTAACTGCCCCACCAACAACAACCAAAATTTTGGCCAAGCGCCGCTTCTGGTGTGCGACCTGCTTAACAGTCATTATTTAAAACAGTCAAAATATGGTTAACCATTAGGTAAAGGAAGCAGTTAAAAGGTTAATAAATTTTGCTTCAAGGTAGTTGTACTAGGATTACTGATTTCCAATGAAACATTCATTCATACATTTTCTTTTCGGCTTAGTCCCTTTATTAATCTGGGATCACCACAGCAAAATGAACCGTCAACTTATCCAGCATATATTTTACGCAGCAGATGCCCTTACAGCTGCAACCCATCACTGGAAATCATCCATACACACTTATTCATACTCATACACTACGGACAATTTAGCCTACCCAATTACTCTATACTGTATATCTTTCGACTGTGGGGGAAACTGGAGCACCCGGAGGAAACCCACGCGAACGAGGGAAGAACATGCAAACTACACACAGAAACGCTAACTGACCCAGCCGATCCTCAAACCAGCGACCTTCTTGCTGTGAGGCAACAGCACTACCTACTGCGCCACCGCGTCGCCCCCCAATGAAACAACCCAAATATTGCTATTCTAATAAAATGATTTTTAAAAACACTGTAAAATCTCATTATGTTATCGCGTCATATTATTGAGCATTCTATAGAAAGTGTTATGATAAATACGGCATCATTATACAATGTGTGAGTGCATTTGTACAATATTGTCAACTCAATTGTTTTTAAATGTTAAATTATTGTATTATTTTAAACATGGCATAAAATGAGCCTATGGTCCAAATTTTACATCTCTTTAAAGCCACTGTATTAGCATTTGTTTACACAATACAAATCCAGGACTATGTGCTTGTTTTTGATCCCTCTCAAGCAATACACAAGAGAATCCATCCGTTAAATAATCCTACCAGTATGTCAGAGCCTGGGATGATAAAGGAGCGGGTTTGATTTCTGGGCACCACAGCTTGCACTAATGCCAGGCCATCACTCACCACCTACAAGAAAAACATCAAAACTCATTGCAAAACAGATCACAAACTCATTCACAGAGAAACTTCATACATCAAACCATTACAGATACACTGTTCATTATACAATTCAAATAAAAATATTGAGAAACGTAGATTTACCTCCTTGAAAGATCTGAGTTTACTGAGCTGATCAAAGAGGTTTGGTGGCAGTATGTCGAGACGGGCCGCACGCCTGAATGCGTTCTCTGCTGACATACGTGGAGGATGAGGCTCCTGGATAATACAAAGAGAGTTCATTGAGGCTATATTATCTACAATACTGTAGATTGTTCACTGGAAATCCATATAAAACTATAACGGTTTCATGAAAAACAAATATGTAATGTAATATAATATACTGTAATGCGTATTTATGTATAAAAAAATCCAAAGTGCTTCACAATCATGAGGGAGGTCTCTCCACACCACCACCAGTGTGCAGCATCCACTTGGATGATGCGACGGAAGCCACAGGACAACGTTGCCAGTGCGCTCACCACACACCAGCTATTGGTTGAATAAAGTGACAGTGATAGAGCCAATTTGGTGGATGGGGATGGCCAAGGTAAGGGCCGATGGAGAGATTTTGGCCAGGACACCAGGGTTACACCCCTACTCCTTAAAAGAGGTGGCATGGGATTTTTAATGACCACAGAGAGCCAGGACCTCGGTTTTACTTCTCATCCGAAAGATGGAAATGACAAATCAGAAATATCAGAATATCAGAATTATGAGAAATGACAAAAGCACAAAGAAATTACTAGACAATAAAACAAAGTAAACCACCACAAAAATAAAACAAAAAATATCACAAAAAATAAGATGAAAATAGCAAGAAAGAGATAAAATTATTAAACAGTATTATTTAGCATGTTGCTGACATGTCTACACTTTTGCTAACATGAACTAATGTTTTTAATTAATTTTGTTAGCACTTTTGTAGTATAAATTGACAAGTTTTGGCATTTAAACATATTGTTAGCATGAATTAAGGTGGCTAGTTTTATACCATTTTTATGCTAGAATTAATTAACATGTTGATCGTAATTATGGTAACATTCTTAATATGGATCACATTGCTAACATTTATTCACATGTTAGCATTTTTAACATGTTACATGTAAGAATTACCTTGTTAGTAGCATACTTTGGCAGACTGAGTGGATTTTTAACACATTGTTAACATAGTTTAGCTTTTGCTAGCACATTTTAATGTTATTTTTAAACACTTCCCTAAATTAGCATGTCATCACTAGTTAACACGTTGCATGTTTAACATATTGTTAGCAAGGCCAAAACGTTTCTATAATCAATTTGCTTCTTGCTAACGGTTATCATGTTACAAGCAAGTTTTAGCACTATGGCTCATGAATTAATGGAATGATAAATGTCTTGCTAACATGTTATTGTGTTATATGTGTTGCTAGCACAATTTAACACATTAGCAAGTCTTGCCAAGCTGTTAGATTGGTAAGACTTGTTTTTTGGTAGATGCAAGCTAGATAAAAAAAAACTGGTTAATCTCACTGTGAGATTTAAATTTTTATTTTTTTATTAATTTTTTTTTAAAACTCTAACAAGTCTAAAGGACATTTTTATTGCCTAAATCTGATCAATTACAATAAAATCAGCACACAAAGTCTTGAAGGTCTGAAACATGTTTTGTGGTGATAACTTGAAAGCTAAGTGTAAAGAAATCTGTTCCAAGAAATCTGTACCTGTAACAAGAAATAGAAAATGACAACAAAGATATTCTGACCTTCTTAAGCCAATAAAACATTACTATCCAGACTTGGGAGGTCAAGTAATATAAGGCTTATGATAACTAGAGATGGAAACATCTGTCTGAAGTCTTACCTTTAAAAGCTGACAGGGTGTTTGGCCAAAGTTGCTGATAATGCCTTCCAGGGCTTTGCGCTCAGTCTCATTAGCAATGGCATCCAGATCGACTGCACCTGACGGCCAAAAAACACACCAATCAGTCATATTTTCCATTCAGGAAACAGCTAATGTGAACTCATAAGAGGTCTCTTACCCTCATAAGTGCAGTAGTAGAAGACATTAAGAGCCTCCACTGCTTCAGGTCCCCGTTGCTTATATCCGAATATGAGATCGATCCATTCATGCAGGTGAGCAGACACATGTTCACTCTCCTTTAAACATACATATACACAAGAAAAGTGCTTATTAGGTGGAAAACAAGAGAATATTTATAACAATATCATCCATGGCAAAAAATTTTCTCCATTGGTAGCCTACATTATATATTATATATCACATTCACAATTCTGAGATTTTTAACTCGTGATTCAGCCCTTTTCTAGTAATTTTGAGTTCACAGCTCACAATTCTGACTTTTCCCCCTCACAATGAGTTATAAAAGATTCAATCAATAATAAAACTGTTCTCACTATTAACTCACCCTCACCTTTTTCATTGGTTGAACACTAAAGAGGTTTTGAAGAAAGCTGGAAACCTTTAACCACTGATTCCATAGTTTTTGTTTGTCTTACTATGGAAATCAGTGGTTAGAGGTTGTCAGCTTTCTTCAAAACCTCTTCTTTCATGTTCAACAGATGAAACAAGTAAAATGTGAGTAAATGATGACAGAAAGTTCATTTTGGTTGAACAATCCCTTCAGTTTTTTTCCTTCTTGGAATTACAACTCTGCTCCACACAAAGCTGCAAATTTATGGGCTTTTATGTAACTTTGACTATAGTACTTACAAGTAAGTTTGTCACATTTTAAATTTAACATTCATGTAAGTTTAAAAGTTGAAATTGTGATACACAAAGTGGCAATTCTGAGGAGACAAAAATTTAATTTAGCTGTTAATTTGCAGCTACATGTTAGCTGTTTCTTCTTGAATTTTAAAATCCATTTATAGTATACATATTTGTACTACATTTCAGATTTTTTTCTGCAGTTTCAAGCTTTTATTCCACAATTTATCCTTTCCGACTTTTTATCTCACAATTATTTGTTTATTAAATAGCAATTATTTGCTATATATATATATATATATATATATATATATATATATATATATATATATATATATATATATATATATCAGCTCTGACATTGTTCTCAGAATTCAGAGTAAACATCTCAGGATTCTGACTGTTTTATTTCAGACTTGTGACTTTATTTCCTGTAATTGTGAGTTTTATTATCGTTCTTGCAATCTGACCTCTTTGTTTAATTCTAACTTTTTCCTTTAGGACTGTGAGGTATCAGGACTGGTACAATCATGCAATGTTTAGTTCATGATTTTGAGATACACCAGAAAATAAAAAAAGACTGAAATTTGAAGTAGAAAGTAAGGTTTGAAAAATGAAATACTTTATTTGCACTCACGGCAGAGATATTGTTATACAACAAAAATGCAGTGAAAATTTTAATATTGATCTTGTGACTTTGTCTTAACACACTGCATTGAATAATTAGTGAACCAATTTCCCATTCTCACTAAATGTTTCTCAAATGTTGTTTAGGTCCATTTGCAATGTCTGAGTCAAAGTAGCCATCAAAAAAGTTTAACCTAACTGATTTTGAAAAAAATAAGCAACAATTTCCAAACAAAAAGATCTGAGATAAAAGGAACATACAAAATTATTTATTTTTAAAATTTAAGATTAATGATTTAGTTCAATTTAAAATGGTACAAGTTTTGTTTAAGGCTAGGAATAAATAGCTTCTGAAAAGCATACAAAGATTTTTTGTAGAAAGACAAGATTGATATAATAGAAAAAAAGAACAATATTTTAATAAGGACAACTTTGAAAAGTTTGAGTAAGTCTATATGTGGGGTGAAATTATGCAATAGTCTGGAAAAGATTTTAACAATGTCTAAATAGCAATCAGTTCAAAAAGTAGAATAAAAATATTTTTTAAAGGAATATGTTGATTGTTACATCCCTTGGATGTATTTATTTATTTATTATTTATTTGTGTGTTTACTGCCCATTGGGAGTGGTTATGTTGTGTGTTTTTCTGTTACTTTCACGGTGTCTCTCTGCCTGCTCACTAGGTAGAGCTGATTGGGCCCAGGTGGTGCTCATCAATGGAGCGTGTTGCAGTAATGCGCTGCTACAAAAGAGCAGTGCATCTCAAACTAAGCAGAGGTTCACTTCTCCCCTGCTCCAGACTCGTGATTGTTGTGGGTGTTGATCTGGTTGTTTGTAAAAAGGAGTTAATGGGCTAGTGAGTTCAATTTTAGTTTCTGTGTTTTGAGAAACTTGCTTGTTTCTGCGTTGTGTAATTTTACAGGCAGTGTGTCTGTTTTCTGAGTTATTATTTAAATACATATATTCTTTTGTGTGTGGTACGTAAAAGGTAATTGTATTGTTTCTTTGTCTGACTTTTTGATTTAAAAATTGAAGCTGGAGGGAGAGGGTGCCATTTTTATTTTTGAAATTGTTTGACTGTGTTTATTGATAGTAAGGGAGTTGAGGAAAGCCTGTGTTGTTTCATTTCTTTTCTTTTAACTGAAATTAGGTTATTTAGTACTCCTCCTGAGCTAGACCTGTTTTGTTTGTTGTTTTGGTTAATCTTTCTCCTGAGATTTTATGCTTCATTTATTGTTTATTTATTTAAGAACCAAATAATAAAATAATTTAAGTTTACTCTTGTGGTTGTTTCACATTTCTGAGGCAGGATTGAAGTGTTCCCTCAAAATTTGATTATTTAATTTATACACAATTCATTAATTTGGTCTTCTTTTTTTTTCTCAAATTCTAAATTTAAATTTTCTTTGTTATTTTCCTTCCCCAACCCTAGACCAAAAAGGGGAAGGGACGTAACATGATGAATAGAGGTGACTATAAAAAAGAACAAAATGAGCAATGTATTGTGAAAATTCAGTCAGTGGTTGTTTGTAGTACCATGCAGATTCTGGGCCTGTGTTATAATAAGGAAAATGTACAAACGGTGAATTGAATATACAATATGTAAAAGGCGTAAAAAGGATGAAATAATTTTAATGTAAAGTGACAGTCGAACGATGGGGAATGGTGTGGAAACAGGCTGGGGAAAAGAACTGTTTTTTGAGCTGATTAAATTAATTTGTCATTCTAAGTGCATATGGATTAGTGAATTATTTTATTTATTAAGATAAACTGTATATTGTTTGACAAATTGTTTTAAGTATGATATTCTAAATATTCTAAAACATACATAAAAATAATAAAATAGGATGCAACTCATCTATTATCTACAGATAAAAAGAGCTACAGTGGTTTCCCTAGTTGCAACGACTTTCATTTTTGTCTGAGATGGATCCTCACCCCCACATTAAAAATTTGATTTATTCACAAATTATTTAAGCAATATTTCATTTTTTTTCAACTATGTATGGAATCATAGTTAGTGAGTATTGTCATTGTGTGGTTTGCTCACCAAGGCTTTACGGTGTTTCCTGATGAAGTCTTCCCGTGAAGATGCCCAAGGTGGAAGCAACACATTATTGACCTTCTCCTGACTTATTTGCAGGCATCCCAGATCAAAACCTGCACACATGACATTGTATAATTCAAAATTCATTGAAAACATTCCAGACCCAGTGTGATTTCCATCAGAGAAACACACAAACCGTTCATGTTCTCCAGGAATTCTGGGAAGTAGAAGAATTCTGGTATGAGCTCCTTCACATCTGCTGGACTCTCCATCCGTGCCTGCCATGCTGCTGCTATTGAATGAAACTGCCTATCAGCACAGTCAAACCTAAAACACAAACACACACACACACAATCACTAATTAAAAAAGAGCCCTGATATATGACAATGCACATGATTGCCTACAAAACCATTAACAAACAACACTGCAACCTAGTGGCCAATAACAGAGGGTTACAACAAACACGCCATTTAATTATGACGTTAATTATTGTATTGATTGGGTCAAAGATGATTTTTTTGTGTGTGTGTATAAGGTTTCATTTTAAAGGATTTTATCAGCACAGAATAAAACTTAAGTTAAACTAAAATAAAAAAATGTGGATGAAATAATGTTTCTTCATTCATAGCAAACAATAAATTATTCTGACCTGCACTTATATAATAATATATATTAGGTAATAATACCTGATTATGTAATGTGTAAAACTTTTACATTTATGTAACAATGTTTTCTAAAACATTTACAGTCTTTTAAAATGATTAAAATGGTCTTTCTGTTAACTAAAAGTAATTTAAAAAGATTTAACTAAAAACAAAAAGTGTTCAAGTGTATAACATTTTTATTGTTTTTATATTTGAACACCTCTTATCATTTCAAACTAATAATATTGAGTGCCAAAAACACAAATAAATAATACTTTAACATCCGCTGCCAGAGGTAATGAACCCATCAATAATTTTAAACTTTAATTTAGAGAAACCTGGATAACTCAAGGAAGCCATCAGTTACAACTATAGATTTGTATCCATATCGCCACAACATATCTAGATTATTCACAATTCATGTATACTTCATTTTAATATTAAAGACATAATAACCTAGTTTGACTTATCAATACAGGAATATGTAGAGGTATCCTTTCAACACTCACCACTAGGTTCCTACTGTTATGATTAGAAATATAATAATAGTTAATGTAAACTAATAATAACTAGTACTTTTAAAAACATGTTAAACAGCATTCATTTAAAATGTATTAATAAATTACTAAATCAAATTGTGTATATAATATTATCATTAAATAAAACAAGCTGATATGAACTAACAATGAATAACTGTAAAAAGCCCAGATTGATAATAAAAAGTTGATGTAAAGGGCTATCAAGAATTTTTTGTGTTGAATTTCTATTTGGAACAAAAAAGCACCCTGTGTACACTAAATTAACACCTACTGTTGGCTTCTGTAACCAATCAAGCTACTTACTTGTAAATACTTTAATATATAGTTTTTATTTCTTACATGTGCAGTCAAAACAGTCAACAAAGCACATATTGCGTAGTTTATTTTTCACTAATTGAAATGTCCTTCTGTCCTCTTGTGTTAATATGTATGTAGGTGTGTACTCTGAACTCCTGAAAAGACAATTCCTTGTGTTTTTGTAAACACTTGGCGATTAATGCATTCTTTATAACTCATCTGATTCTGAAATTGATACAGAAAATCCTGAAATACAAATGTTGCACAAAGCAGAATAAATAGGCCCTTAAGCCTTAAGAAGGGGTGTCCAATTCTGCTACAGAAGGATCAACATCCTGCAGACTTTAGCTTTAACGCCCCAAAATGTCTGACTAGAAATTTCTGGTGATCCTGAAGATCTTGATCAGCTGGTTTAGGTGTGTTTGAGCAGGAAGGTAGTCCTTTAGAAGCAGGCTTAAACACCCCTGGGCTTAACTTGTAGCATTTGAACAGTGGTATGTGTGTGTGTACTTACTTGCCACTCTGGAGCTGAATATGCAATGAGGTGAAGGGCTCTGTGCGGATCATGTAGTGCATGACGCCAGCAGCATTAGAGTAGTGTGTGCCATAGTGGAACTTATCAATAGTGCCTGTTGGGTCTTCAAAACTCTCATACCTATGTAAAAAAACAACAAGACATAGAGCATAAGCAAAACATTATACTACTAAAAACATTATGTTATTGTGCATTATATATATATATATATTATATATATAATGCATTATATATTGTGCATTATATATATTCAAAATTAGAGCAAAAATGACATTGAAACTATCATACTTCTCCCTGACGTTCTGTGCATGGCGAGGGTTGACAACACCGATGGGTTTGGACAGATCTCTGAAAACCGCTGGGTCATCCAGATCCAATTCTGCTGAAGTGTAGTCACACAACACCCATGGAAACTGAAAATATATGCAAAAATAAAAGAGATGACATGAGATAACATTTAGATTTTTTTTTTTTGTTAGAAAAATCAATAATAGATACAGTATTTATCTGTTATTCATTTCATCTATTACTTTCATTCATAATCATCTATCATTTATACATCACCCATTCAAACTGGTTTAATACAATTGTTATTAAACTAAACTAAAGTAAAATAAATGAAGAGAAAAACAGGCCAAAAAACAAAAACAAAACACAAAACCAATATGAGACAAAACAAAAAAACAACAAAGGAAAACCCAAACAAAACATTACCACATAAAAAAATAAAAATAAAAGAAAACCAGAAAAAAAAAAAAAAACAACAACTCAAAATGAATGAAAAGAAAGAAAACATGAAGCTATCAAACAAAAGCAACACAACAAAGTCAACAGACAATCCATGAGGAACCTGTTTCAGTAAGGAGGTCCATCCAACTCGGAGTTTAAACTTGAACTCTGAGTTGACTTACCAAGAGATTCAAAATTCAGAGTTTTCGGTTTCAGATCAGCTGTTCTTAGTTAGGTCAATCAAGTCTGAGTAGACTAAATCAGAGTTAATCTTGCACACTACGACTATAAAAAGGCATTATCAATGGAGCGGAGATATTACGAGTCTCCATGGCAACACCTGAAAAAAAGAGATCAGCATTCTTTTCCCCTGCTGAACTTGATGTGCTTGATAGCAAATATGCCCATATATTTAAAAAAGCAACACCACTGCATCAGTGAAACGGAGACAGTTAGGGTGGGAAAACATAGCTGTTCAAGTTAATGTGTAAGCTTACATTTGATGTATTTACATATTTAAGTATGATAAAAAATAAGTCGTGTGATGTGTGACGTTTATTAACTTTTTACAACAAATTTGACAAAACAAGAATGCAAATAACCTTAACTCAATGTTTAGTGGAAATGTTTAATGTTTCCCAATTTTAATGTAAATGTTTAAGGTTCCCAATTTTACACACATTGATCAGTCTAAGAAAACAAAAAAAATGTTTTTAATAGATTTAAAAGTGCACTTGTGTGTCTGCCTTTATTGATCAAGTGGTAGAGGTTGATATGACATATAGAATGTAAGCAGAACTAAAAATAGTTTTTAGAACAAGTAATAATCCCATTAATCTAGTTAGAGTACATGTTCCTGTTGAAGATCAGTGAATTTAAGCTAATTATATTTGTTTTGCATAAATATCAGATATCCAAGAAATATCAAACTTAAAACTATGCAGTTACTATGCAGTTCAATAAACACACAACAAAAACAAGCACAACAAATAACAAACATAAACCACAAAAAAATAAATCAATACTAGCTCTGAATGCAAACTGATACAAAGTACTACAAGACAAAACCAGATGAAACAAAACAAAAAACACATAAAAAACAATACAAAACACTACAAAACCACAACACAAAATTAAACAAAACAAAGAAAACAAAGAAATTCTATAAAACAAAAGCAACACACAATAAAACAACACACAAGAAAGCAGCCCAAAACAAAATCAACAGACAATGTATGAGAACTCACAATTAAAAACAATTAATACACAATAAAAACCAACAAATAAACCACAAAACAACAAATCAACATAGAATATCTCTAAGTGCAAAAAGACACAAAATTCTACATAACAAAATGAAAAAACAAACAAACAAAAAACCACATCAAAAACCAAACACTACAAAATCACAACACAGCATGAAAAAAAACAACAACAAAAAACTAAAAAACAAAAAGCAACACACAACAAATCAGCCCAAAACAAAATCAACAGACAATGTATAAGAACTTGCAATTAAAAGCAAAACAACAAACAACAAAAACAAAAGCACAGAAATACAAATCAATGCTAGCTCTGAGAGAACTCACCACTGGATATTGAGATAAATCATTGTATGTGCGACCAGCAATGGTGTTGAGCTGCATCAGATATTCAAAATTGGAGATCTCTCGGCAGACCCATCTCTGCAGGAGGAAGAAAAATGACAATAATAACTTGATTTGGATGTTTTTATTGGCAGAAACTGTAATTTATTTATTAGCAGATAAGATACAGAGATTCTAAATCTTTCTCCAATATAATCATTAAGAGTGTGTCTGGAGTAAGTGCTAGAGGATAATTTCCTGGAAATGGATTCAAACACAGACAATAGTTTTGCTGGCATAATTCTCAGACTCGTCTCACAAAAAGAAAAATATTTGCACAATGTGAGTTCTTCATATGAGACATACGTGAGTCAAATTGGAGGCTTTCAGGAGCTCCTGAGGAGAACGGGAACCAAAGTAGAAAAGATTGGGAGGCCTGAGACCCAGGATCCGGGAGTAGACTTTGTTCCGCACCTGTGGGAGGATGAAAACAAATATGAAAACAGATCGGTCTGCTAGATACCCTTGTTTTTCTCTGTTTGCGTCTGTCTAAGTGTCTCACCCCTTTCCGGAAGTTGATGAAGTAGTGTGACTGGTCGATGAAGAACAGCTCCAGCGCTGACCTCCGCAGGTTGTAGCGCCTCAGATGGACCTCTCTTAACTGGGAAAGTGGCCTCTTGAAATCAAACCCAATGCCTTCAAAGATGAGAAGTCCAGAGAAAACACATTATAATCAGAAATCATATATTATCCTGTACACATATGATAGTACAAATTGTATGGAATAATCATCAAGATTTAATAAGTATTTTAAAAAGGCTTTATGTGGGGAAAAATAAAAGAGTAACTCTGAAACATTTAGTTTCTATTTTAATAAACAGCTCAAAAAATGGTTTTGTTGCTTGTTCCAACTACTTATTTAAATCGAGCTGAAACATGTGATGGAAATTTTAATAAACATCTTGATGGACAACAAATGTTTACATGTACAGTATTTATATCTGCTCCAATATTTGCACAACATCCGTAGTGTACTGGCCGGTATTACGGTTTCTTGTCCTGTCTTGTCTGTCCTGTCTTATTTGCACTAAATGTTGCACAAACTGCACTTTGCCCTTTTATTCTTATTTATTTTAGTTTAATTTATTTAATTCTCTAGATTTTTATGGTAATGCACAGTCCTGTGTTATGCTGTCATTGTATGTTGTTTGATGTAGCACCTTGGTCCTGGAGGAACAGTGTTTTGTTTCACTGTGTACTGCACTGTATATTGTTAAAATGAGAAGCAGTTTGGTACTGGCCAAGGCCAAAAGACAGATACACTGTAGCACTCCTAGTCAGGAGTTAAAAAAAACACAAGATCTTTTCTTTCCCACCAAAAATGTATCTTTCCTGGAGTTTGGAACAAATGTGTGTGTACCTGTACTGATGGGTATTAAACTGTCTGTTGAAAAGCAAAGACACAGTCTCTTACACATTCACTCAGTGTGTGTGATAGGTGTCATACAGTTTTTAATAAAACTACTTTTTTGCTTTGCTCTAACCCTTGTCTGACTGAAGTCGTTTAAGCAGATTTCCATAACACACATTATTGAGATTTTTTTGGAACAGCTTAATTGTTTTATGTTAAGTTCACTTAATTGATTTGTGTCGGGAGAACATAACTGGATTGTGTGGAATCTTGCATTTTTTTACAGTATACTTGAAAATCTGTTTCATATAATTAATATTACTATAATTATAGGGTTTTTGTGAAAACGTGATACACTAACAAAAATATGTTTTAGTTAAAGTATTAATCATGCTTTCAGTTTTTGAAACTTCACAAAAATAATCTTGAAAAGAACAATTAGAGCTGATTGAAATAAGTCGACAAAAATGCATACACTTTGAAAAAAACAAAAAAACAAAAAAACAAAAAAACAAGGTTATTTAGGAAGGACATTAAATCGTTAAGTTAAATAGAATACATTTGATATTAGATTCTTATTGATTTGAATAAATGCCGTTCCTCTGAAATCTCTGTTGATCAGTGATTCCTGAAAAACAGTCTTTTTCACTGAAATATTAAGCAGCTAAAATATTTTCAACATTGACGAGTAATATTAATTGAGCAGTAAATCAGAATGTTAAAATGAGTTATAACTGATTGCAGAAGGATCATGCAACATTAAATCCAGGAATATCAATGGTGAAAATATTGCTTTCAGCATGGGAGGAGTAAGTTACATTTTAACACTAGAACTACCAGAGTTATAGAACAATACTACAATTACCATATAATTGATAACCCATAAATAAAATCTTATTGGTAATACAGCCTTTAAATGTATAGTTAGGCTACTAGACCTCTCATGAATGTCTGCACCTCACTTTTATTTTCACTTTCACAAGCAGGGGAGAAGGCTTTTTCATGACACTGCACTGCAAATTTTAGATAGTAGATTTAACTTCCTTTAGAGTTAAACTTAACACTCTCTCAGAGTTTATATGGGAACCACTATAAAAGTGTTAAAAATAAAACTTTTGAAAGTGTTAACATTATCAACACTGAGAGAGTGTTCATTGGCTAACTCTTATAGTGTAAAATATCTGTTAAATTTACGAAAAAATACCAGCAGCTGTGGTTGGCAGAATTTTTCTGTGAAAAATATGTAAGTTTTATAGAACTGTATAAATTTATGAAAAATTACCGTATTTCATGAACTGATACAATGTTCAGTTTACAAAATCATAGCTTATTGCACAAAAATGTAAAGTCATTAGATGCATTAATGTGTTCATGTGTGATTGCAATAAACATACAGGGCCCTATCATAAACCCGGCGCAATACTTGTTTGGTAGTTTCAGCATGGCGCAAGAGTCGTTTTGAGGCGTTGTGCTACGCTGTTTAAATAGCAAATGCATTAGCGCTCATATGTGCATCCATAGGCGTTCTGGTCTAAAAAGGAAGGCGTTCTGAGGCACACTGCTGGTGCGTCGCTATTTTGAGAAACTGAAATAGATTTTTCATTAGACCAAAACAAACCCGGTCTAAACTCCGGCGCAGAGTTTAAACTAAGTACTTACACACTGCTTAATACGCACAAGAGAGCAATAGGCAAATATCTTTACATATGAAAAAAAATTAATATTAAGGATATATATAGGAAATAATAATAATAGATATAGGATATAAATATAAAGGATTAAAATATTACAAAACATATTATTTTCTAGCCTACATAAATATGAAAAATCACTGCTTTTATGTCTTCATCTCGGGAGGCTTTTTCAGTTCATTCATAACAATTTGCTTCTGTATAATGTTATTATTATTAGCAGTATTATTTATTATATCCACATTTATGTTTGTTTTATTAAAAACAAGCTTAGATTTGCCCACCTGTCAGGTTTTAGACCAGTGGTTCTCAAACTTTTTTCACCAAGTACCACCTTAGAAAAAAATTGTCTCTCCAAGTACCACCTTACGACGCTATTTTTTTACCAGTATTAAAAAATAGCGTCGTGGGCCTAATTAAGCAGCTACAGGTGTGCACAGTTTAAAAACGATGCAGATTAATTCCTATTATTTAGAATATGTATTATTGTCAGTCACTTTAAACATTTTAAATAGTCTGAACATTAACTGTGCTTGCAGGTAAAAAAAAAAAATGTTTTTGTTAAAATGTGCTTTTAAAGGTTTATAAAAAATGGCGCTGTTATTAAAAAGTAAAAAGAAAACTGCTGCACTTAAATCCAAAGTATTCATAATAGCCTATTCTTTAAAAGCTGGAAATGCTGCTTGGACCTCATAAATATAGGCTATATGTCATATTCATACACTTTTAGACAAATCTTGAAATGTTAAATGTACATATGACAGGGTTCATACAGGCACAGCCTAATGAAAATCAATTACAGCACCTATTTTTTTTTCAAGACTGACATGCTATGTATTGAAGACCTGAAATGTATTCTCAGCAACCCATAAAACATTGCATAGGAATAGATACACATAAAAACCATTAATAATAATAATACTAATAATATTTATTAATCATATATTAATAATATAATAAACCTGCACTTAATGATTGTGAAATCTTTTTGTACTCAAGGAAAAATACTATTACACTGCTAAAATAACACAAATTTTAGTAAATAATACTAATATTAGGTAAAAGTACAAATTACTCTTTCAAAAAGTACTAGTTGGTTACTTTTGAAAAAAAATTATCAGATTTTCATTTTGAAATCACTTTAAGTGTAAACCTGATTGAATGGTTTAATTGCTTAAATCTCAAAGCTACATGTATAGGAATTTTCACTAACAAAGGAAGTATGGTTGATTTTTCCTTTCATGACAATTAATTTTTTTTCAATAGCACTGGCAAAACTACCACATAAACTTTAAGGCCATAGAGACACTTTTTGCCCATTTTTTAAACAATATTTTCAAGCTTTGAAAGGTTTAATTAAAGTATATGGTAAAAATATTTAAATTTAGCCTTTTATTTATATATTTTACACTATTTTTCTTTACAATATGGCAAAATTGTTTCTTAAATAGCTGTATATCACATGTAGATTTTATTTTACACTTGATCTTAATCTAAAATATCAAAAAAAATACAAGTACACTTTCAGTAAAAAATAAAACAAATGACTTCATTTTACTTGAGGTATTTAAAATATGACACTACATTTATCAACGCAGTGTTTTAAGAGCCTTATTGTTAATTTTGATAAATAAACAATAAGTAACAACGAATTGTTTTGACATGTAATGCTTTAACACAGATCAGAATACAGCTAAATGTATAAATCACACAAATACCTCATCCAGAAACATTTCCAGCATTATTCTTTTGTCGTAAAGAAATAAGTTCCACATTTGCTAAAAGTAAGTTTCACTTCACAATACAGCCAAATAAGAAGACAATTTGAATAGTCATCGATCATGCATCAATCTAATTCTAAATACTTGATAACTTTGAATACTTTTGACTAAATTTAGTCAAGGAGCAAAGATAAATAATGTCTACTTTAATAGTGGAGAGATCGCGATTGTATTCAATCTGAGCACACAGGCGATCATGAGAGGACTTGCAGTTCATTTAAAAAAAAAGCCTATTTAGGAGCTCGCATATCTGTTTTAGCGATTTGCGTACATGAATGCGCTCTCTCGTGTTAAAATAAAGCACTCGCCACATTTGCAGAAATGAGTTATTGCGCAATACCTTCATTCCCGCGCCGCCATTCAGAATGTTTTTAGAGGAGTGACAGGTCAGAGGCAAGTCGACTGGCTGTCGGAGAGCGAAACGTGTATGTAGATAATCAAAAAGGCAGGAAATATGTCCGCGGTTTAATTACTCAGCTAGACATCTCTATAGTGAAAACATCCGAGAAGCACTATTCCAACAAAACTTTTGTTTTTAAGTTGTTTTTTCTGTCTCTGCAACACAGAAAGCCTTTGTCCCGCCCTTACGTTTCACGCGACTAGAAAAAGTGGACTGTGATTGGCTACTTTTCATGTCAGTCAAATCACCCTTCAGAATCAATTCTTAAACTTCCGAAACTGATTTTCAGCAGCTTATGTCACAAAGCACTAAAGTAAACATTCTAAGCACAGCGTTGTGATCGTACGCTTCACAAAACAGCCAATGCTGATCACATCGATGTTATATTACGCATCAAAGGATTAAAAGTGTTAATTGTTTCTTTCATTATTTGGCGATTCCTCCGCGTACCACTAGGAGGAAGCCCGCGTACCACTAGTGGTACGCGTACCACAGTTTGAGAACCACTGTTTTAGACCATAAGGGGCACAGCATGTGTTTTAGGATATAATTCAGGTTTTTGAGCACACTTTGTTATTATTGTTCATTTATTCGTTTGCTGGAAATTAGAACTGAATTTAGAAATAGTTTTGAAATTAATATTTGCGCTTAACAAACGCAATTAATTATTTATAGACTAATTGATGTCTGTGCGTAAAGGTTTCCCTATCCAAGAGCGAAAGTGAAAGTAGATCCATTATCTCTCATTCTCACATAGTAGATGCTCTGTTTAACAGTTTTCTGTTAAAAAACTGTTAGCTGTTTGCTTGTGAAATGCTCAGTTTTTCCACTTAGACTTACTTTACGTCCTGTAAATAGCAAATGCGCTTATGGCACATGTCCAAAGACATGTGCTATAGGTCAATTGGGTAAGCTAAATTGCCCGTAGTGTATGTGTGTGAATGAGTGTGTGTGGATGTTTCCCAGTGATAGTTTGCAGCTGGAAGGGCATCCCCTGGGTAAAACGTGCTAAATAAGTTGGCAATTCATTCCACTGTGGCGAACCCAGCTTAAAAATTATACTAAGCCGAAAAGAAAATGAATGAATGAATGAATGAAAACGCTGTTTTGAAAGACAAATCTGAAGTAAAGTTATGTTTTTGCCAACAGAAAGTTATGTTTTTTGTAGCCGGAAGTTGCTAGGCAACAGATGTTTTTAAAAAGTAGTAGACACTGATATGTATGCTGTCATTTTGACCGCTATGGAAGTTCTAGCTAGAAATAATCAGAACTCTATTGTTTGTAATTTGAAAAAAAAAAACAATGTCAGAAAGAAATACACATATTTAGTAAAATTCAGGAAATTAGAGATATGTGTGGTAATTTCAACAATGTTATAAAATTGCAAAAATAAGGTCAATTGACCGCCACAGTAGTCCTAGTAAAAAAAAAGATATTTAAACAGAAAACAGATATTTTTTACATTTGAATAATATTTCACAATATTACTGTAGTTCTTTATTTTTTACCATGGTGAGCAGAAGAGATTCTTTCACAAAAATCGCTATTATTCTGAACTTTTGACCGGTTTTATAGACAGCCTTGATTTGGTGAATAATGAATAGAGGCAAATAAATGAGAAGAGCTGAATGTAAAAGGGCTGGGCAGTGTGTTGACAGCGCAGTATTCCTCACCCTCCTCCGTCTCCTCTTTCTCACTGCTCCCGTCGTAGAAGTACAGGTGGTGCGTTGTGACCTCCAGACGACCCGGGACTACAGCAACTATAGTGATGAGCTCACAGTCCTCAGAGAGCACCAGCTTCTCCTTCTGGCTCTCCTCCTCGGCCTCCTCTGCCCTGAGGAACCACACACACACATACCCTGCTCAATAACACTCAAGTCTCTGAAGGTCTCAGAAATAAACAGATTTGTTTAATAAAACAGATTTTCATCAGAAACATATAGCACTGTGCTGCTGAAATAGCGATTAACAAACCATAAACTAAGTACTGTAAAAAATAAACCTTATTTTACAGGTAATTGTCTGTATTTTTTTTGGTATAATTTTCCAGTTTTTTCATTATACAGTGAAATACCTGTTGTTTTACAGATATGTTCTGTAATAACAAATTCTAACATTAAATGTACAGTTATTTCTTGTATTTTGGTAATACGTTATTTTTATTCTTTTTAAAGGAAATTTTATGGATTTTTAGAGAGTAACACATAATTTTCTGTTAATATTTACAGATTATTCCTGTAAAAATAGGGAAACACAAATTAAGTCAAATTGTTTTTAGTAAAGACAGTAAACACATGAAGATTAACTTGAGGTTAATAAAGTGAGACAACAGTCTATTGTTTGTAGGCTGCATATAATGAATGCAGTGTAAACTATGAAATGTTTATTTTACTACTTTAAAAATGTTGCTATGTGCACTGTGACGATCACCAGTGATCCTAGGCTGCGGATCACTGGAAAACTACACACGTTACTTTAACAAACTACAACTCCCAGCATGCACCACGCACACCCGGGTTCCTAATTCTAACTGACTACACACAGCATCAGAAGATTGTTATGGACTGATTTATAAATGCAGCACACACAGACACATCGTTTCTGAGTCTTAAACTGTTTAGTGAGCATTTTGATGTGGTTTCCCTTTCCTTGCTGTGTTTGACTCCTTTACTTTTGTTATTTTGGTTGCCGACTTTACGCTTGGGATTATCTGTATGTATGTATCTTAATAAACTGCTATTTGATCCTCAACTTTGTTGTGCAGGCATCCTCACATGACACTAACCTTGTTTTTGTTGTTAAACCATGACCAAATGTGTTATTTGTTAAAAAAAGAAATAAAAAATGAGATAGATAACGGTTTTGGATTTCTTCAAGAAAATTGTTTTGGAGTTTAACCTACATATCCTTAAAATATTTGTTAAACTATATTATAGTTTATAGTTATATTTACAGTGTTTTATGACAACAGTAATTATTTGTAACTAAGCTTTTTTTCAATCATTCTTTAAAAGTTTTATTTCCAGTTTTAAAGGTATGTTAAAAGTGGAAAATATTATGGAATATTTAAAGATTTTATGTATAATTATATTAATTATTCTGTATAATCACATTATTAACCTGCATAATTACAGTAATTATCCTTATAATCAAATTAATTAATCTGTATAATTACAGTAATAACCTGTAAAATTGCAGTAATAATTCTAATATTCACATTAATGATCTGTATAATTACATTTATAAATTATATATTTACAGTAACAATTTGTAACAATAATCACATTAATGATCGGTATAATTACATTAATAAATTATATATTTACAGTAACAATTTGTAAAATGACAGTAATATTCTGTGTATTTGCAGTAATAATGAGTAAAACGGCAGTAATAACCTGTACAATTACAGTTAAAATCTGTAAAATGACAGTAATGACTTGTAATTATGGAACAAAAAATTACTGTTTTTTTACAGATTATCTACATTTTTTATTCCGACAGTTTTTTCCAGTAATCTTTTGGTGCCCTGCTGCCTTTTTTTACAGTAAGACCTTTTTGAGCCAAAAAGATTGCAATGTTTGTGCCCGCTCGTAAGTGAAGGATTAAGACAATGGGATAGTACTAATAAACAGCCTTATTAGCTTTGTTTTAATGAACTCTACTAATAAAGTTAGCTGTCTGTCAGCAGAATGTCTAAACAACAACAAAAACAACAACAAATAGTTATAGTAGGAGACTCACTCTTCAAGGAAAACAATATCCTCGTCTTCTAATTTGTCATCATCCATGTCACTAACTTTGGCTTCCCTGGCAACAGCAAGCGGAAGAGGTTCGGTTGAGCTGCGAGGACTGTCTGCTCCTACACACACAACACCAACATGTGAGCATTAACAGACACTACACAAAGAGTTAACGTGGACAGAGATAATGCTGAAATATCTGGTGTAAATATATCTGATTTTATAGCGGAGATCAAAATTAGAGAAAAAAGGATTAATACTTCAAAAGTTGAAGGAATTTTAGTTCATTGCCTTGAAAGATTTCACTAGTGACATCACTAGTCTCTCAAACTGCTCTGCCGTGATCTTCCCACTCTTCTTCAGTCTCTGCCACAGTTCTCTGTCTCTGTCACAATGGCTATAGTGGCAATAACTTTGTTGCCAAAGAGTTTACGGAAATTTACAATCAGGTTTATATCAGGGCTCTGTGCTGCCATTTCGTTATTTCAGTGTTTTTAGCCTCTAGGTCAATTTATACTGATTTTGTTTGTACAATGCATGAAAACTGGTGGCTGATTGAGTGATGAGCAAAGGGGAGGAACCATAATTTGCTAAAACAGCTTCTTATAAAAATAAAATGCATTCACTCTTGCATTTGCATTTACTATCACCTTCCAGTGATTGTAATCTGCTTTCAGTTACATAGAGTTTGTCATGTAGGAAAATTACTACCAAGTGCCAGATTAACATAAAAAAAATAAAGAAACTGAAAGTGTGTTAGCAACTTTTAATCTGTCTTTTCAAATATCATCATACTGTAAGTGTTTTATACCGTGCAGCAGTGTACATGTAACTAATAACACCTGCTTGAAAAATGATTTTCTTACTTCTGGTGGGATAAATTCAATTCAACCTAAGCAGTGACTTGAAATTTTGGCAACTTCCAAACTGGATGTTTCTCTCATTTTTATCTCCATTGTATGTCTATTACTCACTACTGATTTTTTAATCAGTATACTTATTTCCTGAATATGAATTCTGCACAGTGATATTAACCCATGTTATCTCTCAGGGCACTGGCATCAGAGTGAGAGTCAAAGCTGTAGTTTGGCACCAGCTTCAGACGCATCTTAGAGTATGTCTCTGCACTCGAGAGTTTCCATTTCACCTCTGGCTGAACTCTGAAACACAAACACATCCACTCAGTTCATCATTACACACACCGTAATATAACTTATCTCTATACAGCAACACCGTATAGCAGCTCACTTCAGCTCAGTATACAGTCGGACACTGCTTTTATTTGACATTTATTTAATTTTACACACAAACACACACACACACACACACACACACACACACACACACACACACACACACACACACACACACACACACACACACACACACACTCACACACACATATATATATATATATATATATAGTGTAAGTGGCGATGCATATTACTTGAAATATATATTCTGAAATTGATCCAAAATAAATGCTTTATGGCACTACATTCACAAAAAAATATTACTATTTTTGTATATACTGTACAAACTATGAACTTTCATTCATTCATTCATTTTTTTAACCGCTTTTCCGAGGCTAGGTTGCAAGCGCAGCAGTCTTAGGAGAGAACTCCAGACTTCCCTCTCTCCAGACTTTTCCTCCAGCTTCTCCGGGGGGATCCTGAGGCATTCCCAGGCCAGCCGAGAGACATAGTCCCTCCAGCATGTCCTGGGTCTTCGCTGAGGCTTCCTCCCGGTGGAACATACCTGGAACACCTCCCTTGGTAGGAGTCCAGGAGGCATCTAAAACAGATGCCCGGGCCACCTCAGCTGACTTCTCTCCATGTGGAGGAACAGCCATTCTACTCCAAGCTCCTCCTGGGTGACAAAGCTTCTCACTATCTGTAAGTGTGCACCCTGCCACCCTGCGAAAGAAAACTCTTTTTGGCCGCTTGTATCTGAGATCTTGTCGTTTAGGTCATGACCCAAAGCTCATGACCATAGGTGAGAGTAGGAACGTAGATTGACCGGTAAATCAAAATCAGTGAACAAAACCCCAAAATACTTGAACTCCTCCATCTGGGGTAAGAACTTTTCTTCAACCTGGAGATGGCAAACCACCTTTTTCTGGTGGAGCACCATAGCCTCAGATTGAAGGAGCTGCTTTTCATCCCAGCCTGTCACACTCGGCAGCAAACTGTCCATAACCCCTTTTGAGTTTCTTAACATCGAGGACCGTGACGTTGCCTGGTATGGCGCAGCAGAGGGCCCATTCTGATGCCAGGCTTGGGGATGGGGCTCGTTTGCGAGCGCCTTGTGGCCAGGTTATTTCCCACAGAACCCGGCTGGGCTTAACCCGAAGGAGCGACATGAGACCATCCACCTGCAGGGGGAACCATAAGGGACCGATGCATTGTGAAACGGCTGGTGGTCGAAGGTTAGGACCACGACAACCCAATCGTCAGGCACAGAAACTGGCACTTGGGACATAGAACTATATACAAAAATTGTATGCAATTATTTATTAAAAAAGTGATAAAAAACATCAATGCAAAATAAAGGAGAAATAAATATTAAATAATTATTAAATATTTGATCATTTCAATATATGTATTATAATTTTTTGTAATATTTCAATAATAAAAAACTAAATAAATAAACGAATGAGAAATAAAAAAACACTAATTCATTGCAATCAAATTCATATACAATTGATTTATTCTGCATATGTTATTGAAAATAAATTAATAAATAAATAAAGATGATTGAAAATACCAATAAAGTAATAAAAGTTACTTTTATTATATATACATTATATATATATATATATATATATATATATATATATATATATATATATATATATATATATATATATATATATATATATATATATATATATATAGTATTATTTATTATCTACTATTTATATAGTATATATTATTTATATAGTATTATTTATTATAGCTAATGGTGTTACTTATGAACATTATTTATAAGACTTAATATATGAATAATAATTCATATGTACACATAATGCACACATAATTAATGAACAATATTTCTGAACCTACTGTAATAATAGGTAAAAAAAGAAAGACAGACAGACAGACAGACAGACATACAGACATACAGATAGATAGATAGATAGATAGATAGATAGATAGATAGATAGATAGATAGATAGATAGATAGATAGATAGATAGATAGATAGATAGATAGATAGATAGATAGATAGATAGATAGATAGATAGATAGATAGATAGATAGATAGATAACCCTAACCCAAAAATAAAAGCTTCATACATTTACTTTACCAGTTAATATTGGCCAATTTTTATGCTTGCTAATAATAATAATGCTGCAAACTAAATGAGCCAAAAGAAGAAAAAAAAAACAGCCCTTGAGTGCATCGTGCTGTGTGTGAGTGAGAGTGTTTGAAGACATCCAAACCTGAGGGGCCAGGCTCCTCTGTCGCTGCTCAGTAATCTGCGTAATGACCTCCAGTGCCTCCACACCACAGTCTGCTGGCCGTTGATCATCTTCTGCACATTGTGGTAGCGGCTGTTCTCTGTGCGCACACGCTTCAGGTACGGATCTACGATCACCTCCTGTACACATCACAACACACAACAAAGCCGGTTACAAACATATACATCACTCATAAACACATATGGTTTGCCATTTACCTGTGAAAATTTTGCCCACAATTAGAACTATTTGGTATATATTAATAATACTAAAACCTATCATCTGGAATCTGCTCCACAATCAGTAAGTGCAACAACAAACTGGTAACTTCATTATAAATATACTTCATTTGATAAAATTACCCAGGACGCTCAAAGACAAACCATGATAACAATATTTAATTATGTTTTCCATATCTACAGCATTGGCTATATTCATGGCAAAACCCATGCCAAAAAAACAATGTATAACTTGCAATCATATCAGTTTCTTAATTAACATTCATTGTACAAAACATAACAAAAACACTGAAGAGTCATATACAATCCTTTAACTTGATTAATGATAAACATTCTAAAATTCCACCAGAAGACACTTTTTTAAACATTTCCCTTAAAATATTTATCTAAATGTTCTCTAATATAATTTAAAGATAAGTTTTAACGTCGAAATATTCGTACACAAGTCACAAATATGAGTGTCAAAGTCTTGAATGGCCAATTTATGTCTTGTATGTAAAACCTGATCATGTCGATTTTCAAAATGTTATATGATAACAATAAATGATAGGTAGGGCTAGACAAAATCTTTGGACATTTTTTGCTATTTCTATGAAGAATTTTTTTTTTAAAATATGCGAATTTATGCGGAATGATTTTGGTAGTATCGTAACTAAAACTTAATATATAAAATAAAAATATTACCTTTTATTTAATGTTTACAACGCAAATCCAATTAGATCCACTTATTTGGTAAACAAAGCAAGTCTCTCATATAATATTTCAACTAAAAGACAGAAAGTTACTTTACAAACTGTATTGTAAATAAATCATATGAACATTTTAATATTACTTTTATTATTTCACAAAAATATTAGTGAAATTAATTAAAAACTGGATAAATATAAATTTACACACACTTACACAAGTAAATACATAGATTCAATGATGGGCTAAAATCTGCGGATTTCTGTGCGTGCAAATTTCATGTGGGCCTAATGATGGGCTGTTGAATTATATAATAATATAATATAACCAATATTTAACTTCTTAAAATTCAGATGTTCAATATTCAAGTTATGAAATTCAAATTCAAATTAAGAAATGAAAATTCAAAACAATTTTAAGAGCATATAAAAATTCAGATTTACTTACAATTGTCAATCATTCAAGTTCAGATTGTTTTGGCAACTTATTAGCTCCATAGTTCATGCAGATTGCCCTCCAATGAATCAAGTTTTGATAGCTTTTACTTGACCATGCTTTTTCACAGTTTAAATAAAAAAAGTTTATTTTTTTAAACTCACTGCACTGTATAGTATAGAAAATGTGGAATAGAAAACATATGCATATCACAACGTGTGCACTTTGTTTCTTAGTGGAGTGCACAAGTAGCACATCTTCATTTGAAATAAGGAACTTGAGCATGCAAAAAAATGTGATATGTAAACGGCCCCTTATTATTTTGAGGCTGGCTCCTCATAGGGTGCAGAATGTCCTATGAAGAGCTGGATGTTGACATTTAAAAACAGCAGTTAGATCAAGAAAAATAAAAAGAGGTCACTATGCATTTCTTGTACTTATTCATCAGTCATTCTCAGGATCTACTGATAGCCAGATAAAGATCTACCAGTCAATTGATGGGTTGGTGTTTGATAAGTAATGAGAGACTGCAGTAAGAACAGGAACAACCCTTGTTTTACAATAAATAAGTTTTAGAGACACCTGAAATTTGGCCTTTGAATCAGAGCGTTCCTTGTCTCTCCTCTGACCGGTGCTCATCAGGTCATCAAAGCAGGAGTTCCAGAAGTTGGACATCAAGTCGTGGCTCTTCCCAAAAGTGTCCAGCTCATACTGCTGCATTGTGGGCTCCACCTGCAGGCATACATTAGGAAAAACATTTAAAATTATTATTATTTTTTTACATTTCTACAATACATTATATTCTTACAATAAAATTTTATTGAACGGGCAAAAATATAATATAATATAATATAATATAATATAATATAATATAATATAATATAATATAATATAATATAATATAATATAATATAATATAATATAATATAATATAACATAACATAACATAACATAACTCAAAATAATATAATATAATATAATATAATATAATATAATATAATATAATATAATATAATATAATATAATATAATATAATATAATATAATATAATATAATATAACATAGGGCGATGGCGCAGTAGGTAGTGCTGTCGCCTCACAGCAAGAAGGTCACTGGTTCGAGCCTCGGCTGCGTCAGTTGGCGTTTCTGTGTGAAGATTCACCCAAAGTCCAAAGACTTCGTACAGGTGGTACAAGTAAATTGGGTGAGCTAAATTGTCCATAGTGTATGAATGTGAATGTATGGATTTTTTTTCAGAAATCGGTTGAAGCTGAAAGGGAATTCGCTGTGTAAAACATATGACGGATAAGTTGGCGGTTCATTCTGCTGTGGCGCCCCAGATTAATAAAGGGACTAAGCCAACACGAAAATGAGTGAATTAATTAATATAATATAATATAATATAATATAATATAATATAATATAATATAATATAATATAATATAATATAATATAATATAATATAATATAATATAATATAATATCGAATCACAATGAAATTTATGTCATCAACAGCTATATTAGCGCTGGACTTTTTTTATTGATCTAAGAGTCAATCACACAGAAATGTGCAACAATGGGAATCTAAAATGTATTGATATTAGAGATGTACCAATTTTGAATCATGTTAATATGATATATGTTAATATGTAATTTAATGGACCTTCTAATTTTTATGGCTTCAGTCATTGTTGATGTACTCTTTTAAATCTGGAAGCATTAACAAAATGTATATCGATATGTATATCAAAATAGTTATTGTCTTCGTTCGATATGGAAAATAATTATAGAGAGTGCCTTTCTGCCATTGCACCCAGCCCTAATATTATATAATAGTGTTTATAAATATGTAATATAATATATAAATAATAAATGTAATTTTAAATAAATGTACAACAACAAATGATTAATCAAATCAAATCAAATCAAACTAAACTAAACTAAACTAAACTAAACTAAACTAAACTAAAATGCAACATTACTTTAAGATAAAAAAAACCCATAAGATAATCAATAAATTATATAATAAAAGGTATTTCATTTATTGTATTTTATTGAAGACACCTAGATATATGTTTGGACTGGTTTACGTTGCGTTTTAAAGCCTGCTAATATAGTGTGTGATCTGTATATATGAACAGTCCAAACAGGGCAGATTTACAAGCACTTGCTGTCACACTCCAGCCTTTGCACATCATCTCCAGTTCACTCTGGTTCATTTCAATGCATAGTTAGTTTGTGTTTGGATTAGTGAGATCAGGGGAATAAATCTGGATTTTTCAGTCTTGTTTTTGCATTGTATGAACAAAAGGGTATAAATAAAGAGTTCATCACCACAATGGAAGCAGATTAACTGTCAAAGTGCTAAAAAAAAAAAAAAAAACATCTGTCCACTGTGAAGATTATTCAGTGTTTAAAAAAGATGAGTCTACATGTCTGAATCAGTTGTATGCATAGTAAAATATATACTATATATTATATTTCTAATAAATAGTAGTAATATTATTATTATTAGGGACCGAGCACCGAACGGTGCAAGGCCCTATTGGAATTGCTCTGTTTATTAGGGACCGAGCACCGAACGGTGCAAGGCCCTATTGGAATTGCTCCGTTTATTATTATTATTATTATTATTATTATTATTCTCGTCCGGAATGAATCGCGGTTTTGAGGGGCTAAACATGCCCGAAAACTCACGCAACTTTGCACACGCCTCAGAAGTGGTGAAAATTTACGTTTATTATGGGCTTCGGAAGTGGGCGTGGCAAAATGGCTCGACAGCGCCACCTAGAAAAATTAAACGGACGAGCCCCTGATCCACGAATCACGCACATGCACGAAAATTGACACACACCTCCAACATGCCAAAACATACGAAAAAGTCTCTTGCAGCCATATCTCAAACCCAACAGGAAGTCAGATATTTTTAACTTCCTGTGGCGAAAAAGTGGCGTTTTTGCCATTTCCAGGCGTTGTATTTTAACGAACTCCTCCTAGGGATTTTATCCGATCGACACCAAAATTGGGTTTTGTCATCTAAAGGCCTTGGCGATGTTAAATTGCGAAGCTTTAGAGTTTTCATCGATGGGCGTGTCCGTGGCGGCCTCGCAAACTTTGACGATTCGCCACAAAAGAGGAAGTCGTTATAACTCAGGCATGCATTATCAGATCTGCCTCAAAATTCACATGTTTGATAAGAGTCCTGACCTGAACACGTTTACATGCCAATATCCAGATACAGTTACAGCGCCACCTGCTGGCCACAGGAAATGACATGTTTTACGGAGTAACAAACTCCTCACACAAAATTTTTCGTATCAGCACCAAATTAGGGTTGTGTTATCTGAAAGCTCTAGCGATGATATATTGTGAAGATCTAGAGTTTTCGCAGAGGGGCGTGTCCGTGGCGGCATGACAAACCTCAACGCTTCGCCATGGAACAAGAAGTCCTTATAACTCAACCACACAATGTCAGCTCTGCCTGAAACTTCACATGGTTGATAAAAGTCCTCTCCTGAACACATGCCTATAAAATTATTAAAGTGGGCGTGGCAAAACGACTCGACAGCGCCACCTATAAAATTTTAACGGTCGAGCCCCCGATCTACGAATCACGCACATGCACGATAATTGGCACACACCTCAAACATGCCAAAACATACGAAAAAGTCTCTTGGAGCCATAACTCAAACCCAACAGGAAGTCGGATATTTTTAACTTCCTGCGGCGAAAAAGTGGCATTTTTGCCATTTCCAGGCGTTGTATTTTAACGAACTTCTCCAAGGGATTTTATCCGATCAACACCAAAATTGGGTTTTGTCATCTAAAGGCCTTGGCGATGTTAAATTGCGAAGCTTTTGAATTTTCATCGATGGGCGTGTCCGTGGCGGCCTCGCAAACTTTGATGATTCGCCACAAAACAGGCAGTCGTTATCACTTAGGCATGCATTATCCGATCTGCCTCAAAATTCACATGTTTAATATCAGTCCTGACCTGAACACGTTTACATGCCGATATCCACATAGAGTTATAGCGCCACCTGCTGGCCACAGGAAATGACATGATTTACACTGTAATAAACTCCTCCCACAAACTTTATCGTATCAGCGCCAAATTTGAGGGGTGTCATTTGAAAGCTCTATCAGTGATATATTGTGAAGATCTAGAGTTTTCGCAAAGGGGTGTGTCCGTGGCGGTATGACAAACCTCAACGCTTCGCCATGGAACAGGAAGTCCTTATAACACAACCACACAATGTCCGATCTGCCTGAAACTTCACATGGTTGATAAACGTCATCTCTTGAACACATCCACATAACAATATTGAAGTGGGCGTGGCAAAACGACTCGACAGCGCCACCTAGAAAAATTAAACGGACGAGCCCCCAATCTACAAATCACGCACATGCACAAAAATTGGCACACACCTCAAACATGGCAAAACATACGAAAAAGTCTCTTGGAGCCATATCTCAAACCCAACAGGAAGTCGGATATTTTTTACTTCCTGTGGCGAAAAAGTGGCGCTTTTGCCATTTTCAGGCGTTGTATTTTAATGAACTCCTCCTAGGGATTTTATCTGATAAACACCAAAAATTGGGTTTTGTCATCTAAAGGCCTTGGCGATGTTAAATCGCGAAGCTTTAGAGTTTTCATCGATGGGCATGTCCGTGGCGCCCTCGCAAACTTTGATGATTCGCCACAAAACAGGAAGTCGTTATAACTCTGGCATGCATTATCCGATCTGCCTCAAAATTCACACATTTAATAACAGTCCTGACCTGATCAGGTTTACGTGCCGATATCCAGTTACAGTTATAGCGCCACCTGCTGGCCACAGGAAATGACATGTTTGACACTGTAACAAACTCCTTCCACAAACTTTCCCGTATCAGCACCAAAATAGAGTGGTGTTATCTGAAAGCTCTAGCGATGATATATTTTAAAGATCTAGAGTTTTCGCAGAGGGGCGTGTCTGTGGTAGCATGACAAACCTCAACGCTTCGCCATAGAACAGGAATTTCTTATAACTCAACCACACAATGTCTGACCTGCCTGAAACTTCACATGATTGATAAAAGTCCTCTCCTGAACACATCCACATAACAATATTGAGTCAGTCATAGCGCCACCTGCTGGCAAAAGGTAGTTTGGCTTGTAACTCGACCACACAATGTCCGATCTGCCTGAAACTTCACATGGTTGATGAAAGTCCTCTCCTAAACACATCTACATAATAATATTGAGTCAGAGTCATAGCGCCACCTGCTGGCAGAAGGTAGTTTGGCTTGTAACTCGGCCACACAATGTCAGATCTGCCTAAAATGTCACATGGTTGATGAAAGTCCTCTCCTGAGCAAATCTACATAATAATATTGAGTCTTTAATAGCGCCACCTGCTGGCAGAATGTAGTTTGTCTTAAAACACAATCTCCACACAATCTCTTATCTGCCTGAAACTCCACATGGTTGATAAAAGTCCGCTCCTGAACACATCCACATAACAATATTGAGTCAGTCATAACGCCACCTGCTGGCAGAAGGTAGTTTGGCTTATAACTCAGCCACACAATGTCCCATGTGCCTGAAACTTCACATGGTTGATAAGATTACTCTCCGGAAGACATCTACATGCCAATCTTAATTCACAAATATAGCGCCACCTGCTGACAGGAGGAAGTTTGGCATAAATCTGTGATTTTCTTATATCTTTTTTTATATATTGGCTTAA